TTGGAGAAGAGAGAAGCCTGATGTACGTGCACTGGTAGCTGCTAACGTCGTTGGAGAAGAGAGAAATTGACGTGCGCTAGTAGCTGCTGATGTCGATGAAGATGAGAGAAGGTTGACGTGCGCTTGTAGCTGCTGACGTCGAAAAAGAATAGAGAAAGCTATTGGAGCTGCCTGTTTGACTGAAGATCTTTGACATTTTTTGTCTTTTTCTTGGATCCGGGCAATGCCCTATTTCCTTCTTGAAGGGGTGAGTAGTAGAGGTCTTATTTCCTCTTTCACTACTTCCACTCTTGGCTTTGGTTTTGTGCTGATTTACTTAAGATTTTTATTGCTTCAACAGAAGAGAAAGAGAAGGGAGGTTGATGATTAGAGTGAGTGATTTTAGAGAGAAAAATTAGGTTAAAAATTGGTGATGGAAAAAATATNGAGCTGCCTGTTTGACTGAAGATCTTTGACATTTTTTGTCTTTTTCTTGGATCCGGGCAATGCCCTATTTCCTTCTTGAAGGGGTGAGTAGTAGAGGTCTTATTTCCTCTTTCACTACTTCCACTCTTGGCTTTGGTTTTGTGCTGATTTACTTAAGATTTTTATTGCTTCAACAGAAGAGAAAGAGAAGGGAGGTTGATGATTAGAGTGAGTGATTTTAGAGAGAAAAATTAGGTTAAAAATTGGTGATGGAAAAAATATTGGGCCTGAGATTTTGATATGGTGAATTGGAGAGAAACAACAATCATTTATTTTTCCTTTTTTTTTGAGAAGATAGGATGATCTGAGATAGTTTGTGAGGAATTGGGTTTTTTTTGAAGAACCATGGAGATGGCAAGAGAGAAGCTCCTCCTTTGACGGATTTTTTTTTGTGATTTCAACACAGGAATTTTTTTTCTTTTTTTTTAAATGGAGAAGTTAATTTGAGAATAAAAGAAGGGGAAAAAAAGATGTGAATAAGGTGGAGCCGCCGTCGCTGGAATTACTAGCGGCGGCGGCGGGAGCAAAGAACTTTTTTTTTAGGTCACCAAGAGCGGTGGCTCTGATACCATGTTGAAATATTGAAATAATAATATTGCTCATTGAATTATGGAGTACATGATAGTGTATATATAGGAGAGACTTCTAACACAACTAGGAATAGAGAATGGAAACTAACTAACATACAACATCTACCACAAATAAGATTAGGAAGCTGACTAATAATGAAACACTACCATAACCAATACCACAAGAAATACTATTAATATTATTGTCTAACACTATTTGTGGTAGATGTTGTATGTTATTTAGTTTTCTTTCTCTATTCCTAGTTGTGGTAGGAGTCTCTCCTATATATACTCTATCATGTACTTCATAATTTAAGGAGCAATATTATCATTCCAATATTTCAACATGAACGTCTTTTGGGGACAACAAAAAAATAAAATTAAAGGGGTGTTTGCTTATCAAAAATAAAAGGTTTGAAAAAGGTAAGGGTAAAAGTGGTTTTAATAATCTTTTTTTTTGTGTTTGTAATAAAAATCAATTAAATAAGAGTAAATTTAACAGGAAGACAACAACATGAATGATGAAGGACTAACCGTGGAAATAAACCAAAGAAAAGGAGACTACGCTGGTAATATTTGATATATAAGGACTAAATATGTAAAACCACGTATTAATATGGACCATTTATGTAATTTACTCATTAAATAACAAGAACTAACGTACATTTTATTTGTCTCAAATTAAGCATTTTCATTTTTTTAAAAGATGTCTTTATTGCTTCATGTTCATGATACGTAAATCAATGAAATATTTTCTTTTTTACTAAAGCTCATTTCTCATTTTCTGTTCATTAATTTTATAGTGTTTGTTTAATTTTATTTTTACCAAAATTAAAATAAAAAATGGAAAATAAAATAAAGAAAAAGAAAATTATATGAAAAAATACTTTTATAAAATAGGGGAAATTACGTCATGAAGGAAATTTTGTGTGCATTATTGGTCCAAAAAATATTATTAATATATACTTCCTCAGTCCCGAATTGGATGTCACTGTCACTATTAGCGCTTCTCGATAACTTTTGTTTATTTGCATATTTTCATTGATAATTTGATAAAATAAAATATTCTTGTCACCTCTTGGTTTATAGAGTTTTTAATGTACTTTTAAATAGTGTAATCTATACTTTTTATTTCTATACTAATTTGTATATAAAATGATTTTAAAAATGATGAGATTTTGCACGTTGTTTGGAGTGTGGTATGCAATATGGGACGGAGGGAGTAATTAACTATATTTTAAAAAGATTTTACTCGGTATTCTTTTTCTTCATGACATATTCAAAAAGATTAAAACTTTTTTAGACAAAAATAGAAAATATTTAATTTGACAAATGAAGTATATGTTAAATTTCTTATTTCATTTTTTATTTCAAACACAAATATTTTTTTATTTTTTAAATATTTTTTAAAAATGTATGTTTGAAAAAACAATTTTTCATTATTGTTTCACACACAAATATTTTCCTTCTCTTAATGAAAAAAAGAAAAGAAAAAATAAAAACAATAAAGAAAAAGGAGAGGGTGTGTTGGCACATATTTTCCAACCATAAGAGACAGTGAAGTTATTCACATAATATTTGAAAGATATTTTTGTGCAGTGGCGCATTGGTGTAACAATATCATAATCACGATGGACAATGGTATAATTAAGTTTTGAAACTATGAACAATAAGAGTATATATTTACCAAATCACAGGAGTGTTGGTGCAATAAACTAATATGAGCATACACACAGAGACACACTCTCTAGATTTTACAATTGTGATATGAGTCGTTGTTCTTTAGATTTAGGGCCTGTTTGAGAATAACGTTAAAGATTAGCCTTAGCGTTTTGAACAAAATTTTAACGGTGTAGCTTACTTAACTTTGAAAATGCTAATGCTAAACGATGCCCGTAGATAGCTTTTTCAAAACACTAACGCTTTTCCAAACAGGCCCTTAGTAATTTACCATAAAAGCGCTCGAAGAGTTAATTAACACAAAAATCTAACCCCTAACGTTTAGGTGCCAATTAGGGTGCATGATAACCAAGGTATAATAAGTCCTTGCTGGGTACATATTTCTTCATATAGGGTCCCACAAACTTGACTTAGATTAGCAAGAACGATAATTTTCAAGAATAATAATCATTTGTATGATCTTGGCACCAATTATTGAAATGCAGCTTATTGTTCTTTTCTTATTCTTTCTTCTCGTGATTAACTTTTTAAATATATTCCCTCTCTCCCTAATTTTCGTCATTAAAAATTATTTTATTTATAAATTGACACATCAATAATAAATAAAAAATATATATATTAAAAACTACGTCAAAAGTTCTACAAAATAAGGGGTGACAACAATATTTTATTTTATAAAATATTCAATGAAAACACACAAATAAAGAAAAATTATTAAAGAGAGAGAGAAAACACGATTGTAATTTATTTCGAGACGAATGGAGTACGTGGTAGTGTTTAAGTGTGGAAACTGAAGAAGTATATGGGTTCCCGTCGGGTCGGGGGTGAGGGGCGCTCGTGGTGAGCGATTTCACCTTTTTGGAGAATGAAGAAGTATATGGGTGGTGTAGGGTTTTTGTAGAGGCTCCCTTTATGTCGGGTCCGATTTTCTACAAGATTAAATTGTGATAGTAGATTAAAGGAACAAGATTGTGCTTGTAATCTCGTGGGACCACAAGTGAAAGAAAATTCCTCATATTACAGTCCCCAATTAGGAAAACCAAATCGTGTTAAATTCTTGTGTGCCCATGTTTCGTTTCTCTTGTTTCTCCCAAATTATTTGTGTGTGTTGTGTGCTTAATTTCCAACAGACGGAATATGCTCCCGTCTGGATTTAAGTTCATGTTTTGATTTTTTCTAATTTTTGAGGAAGATTAATTGACTATATGGTAACTTTGTTCAAAATACTCTTGAAGAAAAAATGGCATTTATTCTTTAAACATACATGTATATGAAAATTGAAAAATGATTAGATTAAATTTGGATAAAAAATAAGAAGATTAAATTCTGACAGAGGGAGTATATGTTTTGATTAGAGAAAAACCTTGTGAAGTCTCGTATTTATTACGGAGTACTAAAAAGGAAATTTATCGAAAGAGAAGTGTTTTTTGAAACATTCAAAATGGAAAAATGATGGAGTATTAAAAAGTTTGGCTAAGGGGCTTTTTTTTCCTATAGATTGTCATCATCAGTGTAACAGTGTATATACTTTCCAGCGTGCAAAAAGAATTTACTCTTCCACTTTTTATCTATTCCATAAAAATTTAATGCTTTATTTATTATCTTTTAAAAACAAAAAAGAGTGGCTCAAAATCATTCTCTTCTCTAAAAATTCCAGCCATGAAGTTTTGAGAGAAAACAAAAAAATAGGAGTGAAAATAGACAGAAAAACCAAAATAGTAGCTTCATATTTTTATCTCAAAATGTGACTTATAACGCGAACATGTAATACTAAAAAAACAATGTGGAATAACAATATACAATTTCGCAATAATCTTATAGTGAAATAATCTTATTTTAGGATAAAAATATGTTACTGTTATTTCTGAAATAAATGGTACATAGTATGTTTTGCTCATACTACCTCTGTCCCTAAATATTCACAACATTTGCTTTTTCAGCAGTCGCGGGACCTTTTGTTTATTTTGACGTTTTCATTGGTTATTTGATAAAATAAAATACTCTTGACACCTCTTATTTCGAAGAAATTTTTATGTAGTTTTTTTATATGTAAATTTTATTTTTTAGTTTTATACCAATATGTAAATAAAATGAATTGAAAAAACTTGATATTTTGCCTCGGAAATACAAATGTGGCAAATAATTTGGGACTGAGGGAGTATTTAAAGTTTTTTAATTTTTCAAAATATTCCATAAACTTTCATACTACGGTACAAGTCAAAAAAGGAAGTTCTTTTTTTTAATGAAAGAGGTATGTGTGATGTGTATGTGTGTGTGTGTGTGTAGACACAGTACCAAAACACCCTCAATATATAAATACACGTACCCAAGTAGTCATCCATCAACCCTAGCTAGCTGGTCAATTCAAGAATGAAGATGAAGGGAGCCTATTATCATCTCCTTCTCAACTGCCTCTTGCTTGCCGCCGCCGCACTGCTCATCTCCGGCGGCTTCAACAATAATATTCCGTCGTCGGTTCAAGCACGGCCGGTTCTTGATAATAGTGGATGGGAAATGAGGAAGTTATGGTCAGCCCCCATTCCACCATCTGGACCAAGCCCAGGTCAGTAAAGTATACTCTTTCCGTACCTTTCTTTTTTCATTCGTTCCAAAAAACTTTTTAAGTTTCTACAAGAAAAGTCACTTTTGTCCCTACTAATTCTTAACATACATATTACATCACACTTTTCACTACCAATCTACCTATCACATGAAAGGGCATTTTTAGAAAATCAACATCAAAATACACTCCTTTTAAATTCCTTCAAAACCAAAACAAGAAATGTTTTGTGAGACGGAGGGAGTATATATGTATACACACCCTCCCCGTCCATAGATAGATCAAATTTTTCATTTAATTTTTTACGGTGTCAATTAAATGCAACACTTTAACCATTTATATATATCTCGATCTATATATATATATATATATAGATCATCACAAAATTATACTCTCTCCGTTCCACAAAACCCTTCCTCTTTCGTTTTTTTGCTTTCCACAAAACACTTCTACTTTCTATTAAAAAACCACTTTTACCCCTACTTTTTCATACCCTACCTATTACATCATACTTTATCACTAATAACCAAACTATCACATCTTACTTTTTCCCATCACATCAGGTGCAAAATTGGAAAGTCAACCAAAAATACATTTTCCTTATTTTTCCCCAAAGTCAAAACCGGAAGGGTTTTGTGGAACGGAGGGAGTAATATGGAGTATGGTCAAATACACATAATAATGGTATACATTCAAAATGCACACATATTGGCTGGCTTCAAAAGAATTAAAAACAACCAAACACTCATATTTTAATAGAAACTCTTTTTTTTTTTTTGCACAGGACCTCCAAACGGTCTTTGAAGGGCTGAAGGCCATAGATATATATGGATAAGCTGAGCTGCAGGAACGGGCTATATATATGTCTGTGGGTTTTAATATTCCACTAATATATGTCACGTAACGTACGTACCTACTCCTGCATGCATATGTGCATGGGGTATGTATCGTTAGTTATATATTGTTGAGGAATTTACTTAAATAGCATTAAAATATAATGACTTTCTCTATATCAATAATGTTGTAATTTGTGTTGAGAGAAGTACATTTAAATTGTGCCCCTTCTATATATTTGTACTAATCCCTATATGTATGACTACTGGTTGTGTGTAACACTATGTGTGTGTTGCGTTGCTTTCTTTGTTTATCAACTATTACTCTTTTTGTCTCATAATAATATTACACTCTTCATTAGGAATTCAATTCTCTCGAGTTCCGGTTGGTACACGGAATTGACGGAATTGGAATTGAATCGAGAGTTAAAATTCTATGGAATTGCATTGATTTAATTGGATGCAATTGAATTCTCGAATTCTAATTCATTTTTTGGCACTATCAATTCCAAATCCACATATTTTTGTACTATTAAACAGCAGAATTAGAATGGTTTGAATTCCCCGACTCCAATTCTATCATTTGATTTCCGTGTACCAAACGGAGCCTCAGACTAATTGTTACGTACCCAACATCATGATGAAATCAATCACTCTGGATATAACAACTGGCTGAACAGATCAAATACACAAGTACTATAGATGTTTTGTTATGCTTCCTAAATACCGGAAATTAATTAGCTATGACAATAATACACCGGAGCATATTGACGTTATTTTTTTAACACCAACTCATTTAATTTAAATTTGACACCAACCGATCTGGATCAATGACGTGCTGAGATCCTTCCATCCCTTTCGGAATTATCTTTCGAGTTTGACTTGACATTTTTAATAAAGTACTCCGTATAATGTAATTTGGAAAGAAAAATAATTATGGAACGAATGGAATGATGTACTCGGCATTAGGTATGCAAAAAAGAAAACCCCCTAAATAGGAGTAAAACATGTATCATATCTTCAAAATAGGAGTTCAAACTTAAACTCCTCTAAATAGAAGTAATTAATTAAATATATGTTTGAATCAATTGACTAATCAAGAACTACCAGAAATTGTTCAATTTGAATGAATAAATGTGAATAATGAGAGTGGGAAAACCAGAGCTGAATCCGAAGAAAGACAAAACACCAACAAGAGCTTCTTAGCTCACCATCTTCTACAGACTACTGCTATACATTTTATGTATCCTTACAATACCCATCCAATCTTGTTTTATTAAGAAGGAAAATTTAACCATTATCAATGGTCACCGCCGTATATATACGAAATGATGTCAAAGATTAGTTTTTTTTTGCTATAATAAAAAAGGTAAAGAGGAGCATTAGTGAAGATTAATTGGTCTACAAATAAAATTTTCGTTGCATGCTTTTAGTGAGTTGTAGAAGACTGTTACATTTCAGGTATCTACTACACATTGTCATTAGATTTGGTTTGTCATTATGTCATTGTGTAACATTGTAACATTATATATGAGCATATGTGACATTATATATGGGCATCTATGGTATTATATATTGTCATATGTGACATTACATAGTGCCACATTATTATTTATTTCTTTGACACTTTATGGATTATTAATGTGACATTGTGGTGACGATGATGCAAATTGTGATGATAGTGTTGTTGATACTGGTATAGAGCGGTGATATCGTCGGTGGTGATAACAAAAAATCAAAGGCGTCAATGATAGGTTTCATTTGTAGCGGTGCGACGAAGCAGGGGACGGCGGTGATGGAAATTCAAGTGATAGTGGCAGGTATGTGGCGGTGATGATGGCGGCAGCGGGCATCACCGTCGACGACGATTGCGGCAGTGGGCGTCGCTGTCAGTAGCATGTTGTTGTGAAATTAGTCAATTTTTTTTACTTTTGAACTTGGCCACCACTGGTATTGGCCGTAAATTCAGCGTGTGTGGGGAGCATTTTTTTTACTACGTATTAATTAAGTTAAAATCTTTATTTTAACCTTTTATTAAAAATTAAAAAAAAAAGAAAAACTCAAAAACTTGACTGCAAAAAAAAGTTGGATGGAGTGGGTAATCTTGCTGCTTAATATATTTTCATGCATCCGTGCGTGTTCGGAGCATATTTTTGTTTTACGGAGTATTAATTATGTTAATTACTCCTATTTAGAGGAGTTTAAGTTTGAACTCCTATTTTGAGAATATGGCATATGTTTTACTCCTAGTTTGTTCCTTCTCCCTATGCAAAAAGACAAAACTGTGGTGTGATAGTTGCTTTACTAAAGAAGAGAGAAGTTAAAAAAATCAAAGCAAAAAGACAAAAATGTGTGTGTGTGATATTTATTTTTATTTTTTGATAATACTCCATTATTACCAACCGTCCAATTGAGAGAGTAGAGAGAGAATCGGGAGATGCCGAGGAGCAGATTTGCAGGGTCGTCACTCACATCTCCTAAGGTTGACGTTGTCATCGACATGGGAAATCCATTCCTTAATCACACCATTGATGCTTTCTTGAAGATTGGCACTGTAATTTTCTCTATCTCTCTTCTAATATACTCTTAGGTCTATAATTATCTCTCCCTTTTTGATCAGTTTAATTTCTTTTTTTTATAATAAAATAATAATAATTAATTTTAGGTTGCTGCTGTCAAAACTGCTGCTGAGGAATCCTATTACATGGTAGAACGAGGTACGTCCCATTTATATTGTCTTTACTGCTACAGAGTAGTAGACTAGTAGTAGTGTTAATTAATGATGTTCTTGTGTCAGAATTCCCTAATTAGATATAAGCTAATCAACTGATGAGCTTATTGATCATGGCCAAACCAGGTAGGTGACTTGGGATTAAGGGATTCTTTTTTTTTTTGTTCTTGTGTGAGCTAAGATCTAAAGTCCTTTTGTGTTTGTTTGAACTTGAAGCAACAAAATAATGTGCAGATGGTTTAGTTGGCTAACTCTTGAAGCAATTGTTTGTTGTTTTGCAGGAAAGGTTTCACAGCAGAAATTCGGAAACGCGGTGAGAATCCACATTGTCTGTGTTCGTTATATTTGTGTGTGTGTGTGTGTGTGAGAGAGAGAGAGAGAGATTCTGACTGAATTTATGTTTGGTGCAGTTTAAGAAAATGTGTAGAGAAGGCGCTTATTGGGGTGGGTCGTCTAATAAGCTGGTTCAATTGACATGATCTGTGAATCACCAACAAAAGAACTGTTTGGCATCTCTTTTCTGAGATTTTGGTGTTGCCTAATTGTCTTTATTTGTCACATTTGCAGGAACTGTGGCTGGAGTATATGCTGGAATGGAATTTGGAGTGGAGAGGATCCGCGGAGAAAGAGACTGGGTAATTTCACTCCCTTTCTCTGGATTTAATTGTTCATTTTCCAAAATATTCCAAATTTAAGGATTACAATGACGACAACCTAGTAAAATCCCACAACAATCGCGGCTGGGGAGGGGGTCATGGTCATGTATGCAAACATTACCCCCTACTATGAAGTAGAAATATTGTTTCCATGAGACCCTCCCCGGACAAGGTAGACACAGTAGCACAGACAAAGTAACAGCATAGCGACAAGAAGTACACATATTGACATTGGCAATAAGACCCAAAGCACATGTTCAGAGTCAAGGATTATGATGCAACAGTAATACTACATATTAGTCAATGCTTGTGTTTGCTAATTCATACTCCGGTACATCCGTATCTGTAACCAAATATTTGGAATAATGTTTGTTATACACTTATACCTAAGGGGGTATGTTGGGTATTTCATGCTCCCTCGGTCCTAATTTGTTGTGCATGTTTTCCTTTTGGTCTGTCCCAATTGCCACTCAATTTCCCACTTGTCCATTCTAAATGATGCAGAAGAATGCAATGGTAGGGGGTGCGCTAGCTGGGGCATTAATATCAGCAGCCAGCAGCAACAACAGAGAGAAAATTGTAATGGATGCTATAACAGGTGGTGCAATTGCAACTGCAGCAGAGTTCCTCAACCATATCAAGTGAAAAAGGAAGAAGAAGAAGAAGAGACCCAATAGTAATAATGTTTCCATGCATGTAGCATTCTCTTTGGTTGACTCTGTAAGAATGGTAATTGGCAATGACAGATTCCTATCCCTTGTAGATCTATGGTGGCAAGTTTTAGTCTCACAAAACTTTATAATATGAGTTGTGAGCAACTTTATAAATTTGGCTTAGTCATGACTCCCTAATATTAGACTTTGAGATGGCCCATAAAAATAGATCATTCATATATAACAACATTACCCCAATGCCTCAAAGGGTCCTGCGGCCTGCCCATTGTGGCGTAAGGGAGGGTTGGATTTACGTAGTCTAACCCCTATGTTTAAAACATAGAGTGACTGTTTCCGAATGACCCATGATGAGAGTCGAAAGTTGCATCGACTAATTGTTACTTAACTATTGAAAAAGAAGCACATGCAGTTTAAATAGCCATTTTGCTTTATTTCATCATACCCAAAGCTAAAAAATAGCGAATCTTTGGTTCCACCAGAGTGTTTTTTTAAAGTTAAAAGATTCCTAGTACACTAATATATACCTGAACTCGAAAGATTGTCAAATATAATTCTTTAGCTCCATTGGCAATGGAAACCAGAGAAAAGAAAAACTAAATCTTGGGTACCTACCAACAAAAGGCAGAAGGGGTGGAGCACAAAATGCGTCAAAAACTATTTCCCGGTAGTAAAGCAATCATTTAAGTAAAAAAGAAAGGATGAAGAAATTCATACACCTTGTTGAACATGAGGCATTACAGCGGAGAAACGTAGTTTGCAATTCATTCTTTTCATTCTCCAATTCCAGAAGAACCAGAAGACAATGACTCTGGTGTCAAGTTCCATATTGCTCAATGAGCTTCAGTAAACTGTAAGTCTCTGAATCCGGCCTTGCCCCTCCTAAAACCATCCTTTTCAGAAGATTTGGATCATATACCTTTGCCTTCACATATGTTTTTATCAACGCATTGTACACGAATGTGTACCTGGTATATTTGGCCTTCTTCAGATCTTCAAACAACTTCTCTACCATTTTTATCTCCCCATTGTCAGCCAAAACTTCAATTATTGCTAGAGTAGTTTCTAACCATGGAGTAGACCTTTTCACCTTGGTGCTTGTCGTCATATCCATCCCAAGCTCCAAAGTTTTCATGGCTTCCTTCATTAAGCCAGCTTTTAAGCATCCCAGAGCAAGATGCCGAAAAGTTATAGAGTTTGGTTTCAATCCACAAGCCTCCATCTCTTTGTACAGCCCAGTTGCTTTCGTCACCAGACCATGCTTGCAGTACACGGCTATCATTGAGTTGAACTGCTCAATAGATTCCAAACCCCTCTCTAGTTTCATTTCAACCCACACGCCTTCTGCTCGGTTTAGATCACCAATCCTCCCAAATGCTTCAATACCCAATGTGTAGCTCTTGGAGTTAACGTGGGGATGTTCTTGGATGATTCTCCATGTCCTCTCCAATTCCTTGTGCTTCCTCAAATGCCCGTACAAGATAACAAGAATGTCAAATGTAGACCAGTTTTTACCTGTTGCAGACTTCTCAATAGCTTCAACATACGCTTCACACACTGTGTACAACCTCGCCACAGCATGGGCAGTGGCTAAAATGCAATAAGTTACCTCATTAGGTTGAACATTAACCCTCTCCATATCACTAAACACTTTGAGCAAGCCTTCGATGTTGTGCTCATTAGCTTCAATCTTTAGCAGAATATTAAAGGTGGAAACGTGCCGAGCCACCTTGTCAGCTTTCATCTGCATCAAGATTTTTGGTATAGACTTTTTCCTCCCAGGGGAGGCGTGTAGAATGATAAGGCGGTTAAACACTAAGTGTGTGATCCGGAGACCAAGCTCCCTCATTTTCTTCATATATGCTAGTGAAAGCCTTATCATCCCTCTTTCCAAGCACACGAGCACCAGATTGTTGTAGAGCAAATCATTTCGGAATTCCGAGGGAATTCGAGAGAACAAAATTTCAGCTTGGGTAACTCCGTGAAGCCTGGAAGTGAATTCCAATAAATATGAATAATCAAGCTCCCTCGGCCTGTATGGCCTCTCCCTGATCACCCATTCCATCACCTACCAAGAAATTGGCAAATTTTCTTCTGAGTGATTTTGTCAAACACATGGCGTGCATTCTTAGCAAGGGATGAAGGGACAAAGAGATTGAAAAAAAATGAACCTCGAAAGCCCGTTTGGTGGAGTTGAGCCTGCGCAGGCGGTTGATGGAATGGAAGATATGGCCTCTGTGGATTGGGAAGCCATCGCCCATCCAGCTCTGGAAGGCTGACCCGACCGCCTCTCCTCTGGGCAGTTTTTCAATCCTCGAACTCAAGCTCTGGGCGTCTGATTCTCCTCCTTCTTGTTCGTTTTCTTTATCTTCCGCCAGATTATGCACTCTCTCTGCTTCCGATTCGGGCAACGGAGATGGAACTTGCGCGCAGAAACTGAAACGGGGACGAAGTTGGGAGGAGGCGGGCGGAGATACGACAACCGTTCGACGAAATGCTCCAAAGAAGCTCTGCGCTCTCAGAATGGCTATTAGTTTCATGCCGCATACTTGGCGGCGGGAAGATAGAATCAGATATTCAGAATGGTGAACGGATGTTTATGTCCACTTCCCTTCTCCTGCTTCTAGCTAATTTTGGATTCTAGATTTAAAACAAAATATTTAAAGTATTTTTTATACTAATAATTTGATATATTTTTTATATTTTAATTCATTGTATATTTTTATATACAACTAGTAAATGTTTAACACGGAAAATGAAACAAACAGTTAAATAAAAATGAAGAGAGTAAAAATACTTCAAAGTGAAAAAAACACAATTGATCACTACTGAGTTTTGATATAAAAAAATGAAGAAAAACTTTACAAAATGGCCAAAAAATATTAATACGGAGTAGTCGTACCTAGTAGAATTTACTCGTATTATATGAAACTAGTATTTCGTTTAATTTTTAATATTTACTATCAAAAGGACTTCACATGGAGGGTTGACGTGTACCTAAAGGACCACTTATGGACTTTTGAAACTTGAAGGACTAATGGTGCAAAATTCATAAAGTTGAAGGACTATTTATGGGCTTTTGAAACCTGAAGGACCAATCGTGCACAATTGATAAAGTTGAAGGACCATGAATTCTAGCCCTTTTAATTGATACAGAAAAACTCCAAACTTTTCCACATCCAGCTCTTAATGGATTGAGATTAAAAAAAATTGAACAAATACTACACATGAGTACAAGAATTATTCTAAAAAACAAAAAAAAGATACTACGTAATTATTTTAATATTTTATACCCTTCTAATCAAGAACAATATGTTCTAAGTTCAATCGATACGACTCTATACCATTCACGAGCAACCTAAGACCATCTTTCAGCTCAGAGGTTCCTTCCTCCAAAACAGCACACACCGGGAAAATAGGGACCCCAGACACCCTTTGTTTCAGCTCCTCGCAGACCTCCTCCGCTCCGTCCTCGTCAATCTTGTTCGCCACCACTAGGGACGGCCGATCCGACAGCCCCGGGCGATAGTGTTCGAGCTCCAGGACCAAGTCCCTCAGCTGTTCCCACGGCGGCACCCCTTTGTTGCCGCCTGTCCCCGCCGCCAGGTCCACCACGTAGGCGAGGACTTTCGTCCGCTCCACGTGCCGCAGGAACGCGTGCCCAAGTCCCCTGTTCTCGTGGGCCCCGCTGACGAGCCCGGGGATGTCGGCCACCGTGACCGAGAAATCGTCGAAGTTCACGTTCCCCAAGTTGGGGCGCAGCGTCGTGAAGGCGTAGTGGCCCACCGCCGGCTTCGCCTTCGATAAGGCCCCAAGGAGGGTGCTTTTGCCGGCATTCGGCATCCCGACGAGGCCGACATCGGCAATGCTCTTCAGCTCTAGCACGAGAACAACCTCGGACCCCGGGAAACCCGTGCTGCTACTCGCTGTTTCTGCTTCTACTCCTCCTTCCTCGGCAACCGTCTTTGAGGTTTTCCCCGTTGACAAATTACCTAAACCGCCCTCCCCTCCCTCGGCAACAATAATCTGTTGCCCCGGCACTGTTAACTCCACTACATTGTACTCCGCGCCATTACTTTCGTCCTCCAGCCCTGTGCTTAAAGGAGGATCTGGAGTGGGGGACACGTTGAAAGCGGTTTCCGCTTTGGCGTAAGGGGGTAAAGATTGCGATGAAACAGGGGCACTAAGTGTGCCAGGAATGTCCCAAGGAGCTAAGGTTGTTGAAGAGGTTTTTTGAACTGCAGATGGAAGTTCTCCCTCCACAACATGAATTACAGTGCCAACTGGCACTTGGACAACCTATGGAAACAAAACTTCATAGTGATATTGTCAAGTAGTACTTGAAAGCAATTAAAGAGAGAGAAACAGATATAGCACAACCTTGTCAGTGCCTCTGCTTCCTATCATGTTTTTTGAAGCTCCATGTCCCCCTCTCTTAGCATTCTGAAAATTACTGAAAAATAACTCGTTTCCTTTTTCGCGGTGTTTAAGAAAAAGTGAAATCGTGTGGTTGTGATTTATGCGGAGGAGGGAGAAATGATGTGAACCATTCAATACTTTCGTTATAATGAATGAGAAGTTCGTTTTGGGACAACCCAGAAAGGGAAGCGGAAAGTTTATTTTAGGATGGATGTAATGAGATGCAACTCTGTCATAAAACCAGAATAGGATAGACAAATATATGTCGAGAGGATGGGAAAACACGCACGATGTGATGCTGCAGACTGCTGAAATCCCAAACTGCCGGAGAACATTCTAGTATTACATCACCTCCTCGTCCACCATTTCCGCCTGACAAAATGTATCAATGAGGGGAAAACATATCACAATGATTATATATGGTTTATATAGTAATTCTTACATTTGATGGTTAGAAAAACAGTAAAGATGAAAAATTACATAGAAATGCATGATTTAACTAAACATATCATCAAAAATAGAAATGAGTTTGTAAAACGAAAAAAGGCCCTCCCCTCCAACCAAATAAATCGATAAAAGCATGTCAAGGAAGACAAGTGGATAAAGATGGAAGATTGATGTAGAGTAAGAAAACACAACAAACAGCTGATAGAAGGGTAATGAGCTAAATAATGTAAAAGTCTTTTTTTGTGAAAACTAACCATCTGGTCTTCCAAAGCGATCTTGTCTGCTACGACGAAAGCTGTTACACCCATTCCCACCATCACCTCCTTTTGCCCATACTCGGAAGCGGTCTATCATTCTCCGCTCCTGCAAGAGAAACATTTTTGTGTAACACTAAAAACGACAGATGTCTACAAGGCCATAGACGGAGGGGCGCAGACCTGTAGTGGGGCAAGCTTTGCCTTCTTCTGAGCAAAGTCTGAGAAAGAACATGACTGAAAGCCCCACTGTAATTGCGAGAACTTTCTCAAGAACTGGGCTTTCCCACTATGCAGCCACATATTAGTACCACTTCCCTCAACACTTCAATATTAGCAGACCCGACTTTCGAGTTGTGATAAAAGAGGATATCTTGATCTCTCACAAGTTTTTCATGGAAATTCGCAGCACCTACAATGCATAAGGTGGAAGCAGTTTCTCAAACACGGGAGGAGACTACAAAAGATGATGTTTCAAGCAAATTTTAATTGCTCTATTGAAGCCAAAAGGAAGGATTTCATTAATTCATCAAATGATTGATTTTCTACTTGCAAACAACAACACTCTGCTTGAATGCTTAATGACTACAAAAATCTTTAAGCACGCTTCTCTGAATACAGAACTTCTATACCTTAAATAGAGTTTTTCATCAAGTGAAGGGTCTCATTTTAAAGAACTTGAATGATTAGACATTTCACCGAACACGTAGAGGACAGTATCGATACGAAGTTACACATTGTTAATGGAAAATCTTACAAAACACTTCAGGTTGATTATAAATAGTAAAAAACACAAAACCTGGTAGATTCGTACTGAGCAGGCGATAAAGCTAGAGTCCAACAAAATGAGACGAAACAATTAACTCTCTAATATTCAAAAAAACACAAAAATGATCTTTTTAAAGAGCCAAAAATATATTAAAAAAATTGCACGGAAAACCAAATGACGAAAAATGAACACGGAGAGAACGATTGCTTTGTCAGAGATTTTGACCGGATCCAATCAAAAATAGACGACGCTAGCACAAAAATAATTCTCTTTCCTATATGCAAAACTAGCTAGAGAATGCACTATGTGCGTGTGTACCCAATCTTACAAATATTAGATACGTAAGTACTACTCCCTCTTACATATATTTTCATCCAAAAAAATGTTAATGTTCAGCCAAATAGAAAAGGGAAATAAGATGACTCATAATAGAAGTATAAAATATGAATGATGTTTTAGTTTGATTGGACCAACTCCTTCATTTATCTCTAAATCACATTTTGTGAAAGTACTATCATTACTCTTAACACGAGGAAAGAAAGTTTGAAAAACAGAGCAATAGCAGGTCTACCAACTTGATGTGTTATGCGGCGATATATAGCATTTGCCCTTGAATGGCTATACTTTTCACAGAGCAAAGACAGCATGAGATGCATTTTTTCATTATCACTCATCTGCTTTTGATGTGTAGATAGATACCCTTGTGTGGGGCAACAAGAAGCTCGTTCGGTTGCAGGTTTTGCGTCCTATGTAGTAGGGAATTGTGCCAGGCTTTAGAATTATGAGTTGTCCTTCAATCCAACAAATTTGATCATGTGGGTTTATGTGTATCATTCAAAATGAGCAAAAGCTGTGATAATTTTCACAATAAAGGTGAGATGTGATGAAGGTTGTCTGTTGTATGTCCTAATGTATGGAATCCTAATTTGCTAAATTCTAGCTTGTTATAACAGACTGTAAAAAAAAACCTTCATCGTGGACTTAAAAAAAGATGCTTAATTCGTTTATGAAACGGAAAGGTACAGTCAAGTTATTGCCTAGTTTTTCAAAACGAGACATGTAAACCTAGACTAATATTCCGAGAATAGAGAAGTTCCACACGAAAGAAAAGGGGTCCGGAGATAAAAACAGAATGCATTTGTCAAATTAATATGCGAATAGAAACTGTAATGAGGACTAAAGATCTCTATTTTCTAAAAATAAGTAGGAGAAAGAGAAGTATGAAGTATTTGCCTGATTAGTTATAATACAGCTGTTAACAATAGAGAAAAACATACTCCGTAAATGAGATTAATTCCGAAGGATCAATACCCCTGGATAGTGCCATTAAGATGTTCTTGTAAAAACCCCAAAACACAGATTTAAAAAAAATCAATTTCATAAGAGATAAACAGATGTCAAATAAGGTATCAAGAACAACCATTTAAAGTTGGGTGGTACCCTTCAGCATTGAAGAAATACACACATCTCTATGGAGTCTAGCATGAATCAATCGCCCAAATGAACTTAATCGCAAAGGTCTCATTTTTTTCTTCTTTTTCTCTGCAAATAGCTTTAGACAGTTTTTTAATAGAAAACGCATCGGTCTTTAAATCATCAATAGGAATCAACACTACTATTCAGATGTTCAAATTGATGAAAGCAGAGGCTAATGCGAACTGATTTCAAAAGCTAAAACGTCAAACAACTAATGGGTAACCAATTCATGGGTACCAAACGCAGTTCCTATTACCAATTGCAAACACTCATAACGCATTGGGAATAAAAAAAATGGATATCCCAAAAGTAAATCAAAGGAGCTATGAGATTACCTTGCGATGACAAACAATCGGAGGCTCGGCGGACGCGGTGGGAAAACAAGAAGTATACTGGGTATAGTACACTGTGTATATTGAAGATGAAGAGAGGAGAAGCTAGTAGTCGGCGGTACTATTGAAGCCGGGACGGACTGACGGAGTGGTGGGTACACCTGTGGCAATAGCTTATTCCGTTCAGTTTTGGATCTTTCAGTCTTATTGGTTTGGGTCGGGTTCAATTGGATTCTAGGTTTAAATGTTTAATTTAGGGGTGTATTCAATCAATATTTTTAAAGATTCTAACAGATTATTTTGAATTCATGGATTTTGTAAAGTCAATGGATTATTTAAAATTTGTGCAGAGTTAGATAAATTTTGATGTATTTTGTTAGTAGGATTTTATAAAATTGTGATAGATTGTTTATTATCAATGGATTATTTATATATAAATTTGAGTTATTTTAAAAATCTATGCATTATCCTAACATTGATTATTACTTATGAAATTGACAAAAAATTCTAAAAATAACATTATAAAATAAAAATAAATTATTTTTAAACATTATTATTATTATTATTATTATTATTATTATTATTATGCTCAACACCAACAAGAGGCAAAAATCATATTTTACAAAGGCAAGAATCATATTTTCCAAAGGCCTCAACTTATAATTTACAAAGGCAAAAATCATACTCCGTATTTTCCAATTTGAGGCGCTTCAGATTCGACGAACAAGAGGAGCGGGGCTTTCTTACACCGAGCAAGAGGAGCTAGAACAGCAGCCCGCGGGTGTTGTCGCCTGAGTACGGTGGGCAGCAGCACCAAGTTCTGGCGGCGTCATCCCCAACATGGGTAGTCATGATGGCGGCGACGACGACCTCCTCGGCGATAGGACTGCAGCGGCCAACAGCACCCCGGCAGTAGAGCAGCGTGCAAAGCCGAGGAAGGCCTTCCGTCGGGGTTCGAGCTCCGACAACTTGGCAGAAGAACAGGACAGGGACGAACGCAATAGAAGAACGGGGTTCCGACTTCCTGCTGAAAAAGAATAGGAGTGGGCAAAATCCTAGAGTTTTCTTATTGGATTTGTAAATTTGGATTTGTATTTATACTCAAGGCATGAAAATCCATCAAAATTCACAATTTTTAAAATCTTTAAAAATCTATCAATTTTTGAATATCATCATATTTAGAAAGATTTTTAAAGTTTGAATTGAATACACCAGATTTTAAATGACTTTTTAAAATCTGAATTGAATACCTACGGATTTTCAGAATCCAAAAAAATGTATCAGAATCCGAGTTGAATACACCCTCCTTAGTTTTGATTTTTTCCTGGTTTCCGTTCCGTTTTGGTTTGAATTTTAATTGGTTCGGATTTATACTGATTTGGATTTTATCGGTTCGAGTTTATACACGTTTCAAATGAGATCTCTTGATATTAGACTTCTTAATGTTAGCTTTGTATGTAGTCTTCCCTCCCTGTGTGTGTGTGTGTGTATATACATACATACATACACGTGTCAACAGTAATGAGTCAGTATATGTGTGTTACGATTTAATTATAAATTATATATACTCGATGGAAAAATAGACAATGACTTTAGTTTAAGTGATAAAATAAAAGATTTGCATATGAAATTAGTTGCACTAATAATTTAAATATATTTTTTTGGAAAAGACATCAATGAATGATTTGATTTGAGTTTGATTTGTTTTCAATTTGATCAATATAGGGTCTAATCGGTTTGAGATTTAATCACTTTTGGGTCTAATCAGTTATGGGTGTCATCGGTTTGGGTTCAATTGGATTTGGAACTGAATCGGGTTTGAATATATTCGATTTAGTTTTGGTTAAGCTCGGATCATTTTTGGTGTTCAGGTTTAATTTGGTTATTTAATTTTCGGGTTATTCCGGGTTTGGTTCCGATTTCTTCAATTTGGGTTATTTAATTATATACGTATTTTTTAATTGACTTTCAAAGTTATTGTAGTTTGACTAAAAATTTCAAACTAAACAAATTTAGATAAGGAGCAGTATTCGTCAAGCTTGCGAAAAGGTTTTATTTTCAAGTAACACTCTCATAATAAAAGCGGAAATTATGTGATTTACTTTTATGCACGTAAGAAAATGTGGGAACTTTTGCGGAAAGATGAGGCTGAAAATGGCAAATTATTAAATTCATTACCATACATACCATGAAATCACACTACATATCTAAAACTTCAATAGGGATCCATCCATTCATCCATTCCCTCTGAAAACATCAAAACAATGGTTTCAATCTCTGCAGCCATCCCAATAACCCTTTGCCTTTTGATCTTCTCTGCTAAGCCAAACACATGCCAGAAGACAATAGAAGCCCTGTGTGCCAAAACCATTGACCCCGGCTTCTGCCGCCGTGTCCTCGCCGCAAGCCCCACCCAATCGCCGGACGGCCTGCTCAAGGCCGCCGTCTCGCAGGCGGCCGCCGACGCAGTGGCCACCGACGATATAATCAAGAGCCTTCTCAACCAACCCAATGACCCCAACCTGGTGGCCTATTTCCAGTGCTCCAATTACTACAGCGCCGCCGTGGCGGCTCTGGACGCCGCGTCTCAGCTTCTGGGATCTCGCCCCGCTGCTGATGTCAAGAACGATGTTGCCTCCGCGGCGATGACCGTGCAAAAAGATGGCGATCGCTGCAAGGCTTCGTTCGACAATGGGGCGAAACACGCCCTCTCCTCGGAGAATAGGAGGCTTAAGATTCATGGAAATATTATATCAGTTGTTTGTGATGCCATATGAATGTGAAAATCAATAACCAGACAGGTCAATAGTAACCTGGTTTTTTGTACCCCATAGTAAGAAGCTTTGAATTATCCCATCAAACATTAACCCATTAAATTCTGCTATAGAGTACTTTTTCATTATCTACTCAATTGGTCAAATATATTTTAATTCTAGGTATCCTAATTTTAAAAAAAATTGATTTTTCACTTCAAGATTTGGATGACAAAGGAAAAGATGTTATTAAAACGGGAGAAAAGAGAGCCAAAATTACATAGGAAGTCTAGACACCATTTTTAACTTCGAACAAAGAAAAGGTAAAGATCATACAGAATTAACCACTTAAGAGACAATAACCATGACGTAAGAAAGAAAAAAAGAAGCAATTATCCCCCATTTAATCAACTTCTTCAATCTTGGGACCCGCACCGCCGCCGGAAGCCGGAGCACCATCGTCATCCATGGCAGCACCCATTCCTCCGCCGCCCTGGTACATTTTGGCTATGATGGGATTGCAGAGTCCCTCCAGCTCCTTCATCTTGTCTTCGAACTCCTCCGCCTCCGCCAGCTGGTTGCCGTCCAGCCACCTGATGGCTTCCTCCACGGCGTCCTCAATCTTCTTCTTCTCCGCCGGGGCAAGCTTCCCGCCGATCTTCTCGTCCTTGATCGTGTTCCTCATGTTGTAAGCGTAGTTCTCCAAGGCGTTCTTGGCGTCCACTTTCTTCTTGTGCTCCTCGTCCTCGGACTTGTACTTCTCCGCCTCTTGCACCATCCTCTCAATCTCCTCCTTCGACAGCCGCCCTTTGTCGTTGGTGATGGTGATCTTGTTCTTCTGGCCAGTCGTCTTGTCCTCTGCAGACACGTTGAGGATGCCGTTGGCGTCGATGTCGAAGCAGACGGTGATCTGAGGGACTCCCCTTGGGGCAGGTGGGATTCCGGAGAGCTCGAATTTGCCCAGCAGATTGTTATCCTTCGTCCTGGTCCTCTCCCCCTCGTAGACCTGGATCAGGACGCCGGGCTGGTTGTCGGAGTAAGTGGAGAAGATTTGCTCTTTCTTGGTGGGAATGGTGGTGTTCCTTGGGATCAACACCGTCATAACACCGCCGGCAGTCTCCAGGCCGAGAGACAGAGGAGTGACGTCCAACAGAAGCAAGTCTTGGACCTTCTGGTTGCCTTCTCCGGTGAGAATGGCAGCCTGGACAGCTGCACCGTAGGCGACGGCTTCATCAGGGTTGATGCTCTTGCAGAGCTCTTTGCCATTGAAGAAATCCTGCAACAATTGTTGAACTTTAGGGATCCTGGTAGATCCCCCAACAAGAACAACATCGTGGACGCTGCTCTTATCCATCTTGGCGTCTCTGAGACACTTCTCCACGGGCTCCATACACTTCCTGAACAGATCCATGTTCAGCTCCTCGAACCTCGCCCTGGTAATGGTGGTGTAGAAATCAATGCCCTCGAACAACGAATCGATTTCAATGGTGGTCTGAGCGGTGGAAGAAAGCGTCCTCTTCGCCCTCTCGCAGGCAGTTCTCAGCCTCCTCAGTGCCCGAGGGTTCCCGCTGATATCCTTCTTGTTCTTCCTCTTGAACTCCTGAACAAAGTGGTTGACCATCCTGTTATCAAAATCTTCTCCTCCCAAATGAGTGTCTCCGGCTGTGGCCTTGACCTCGAAGATGCCCTCTTCAATGGTGAGAAGAGAAACATCGAAAGTGCCACCGCCGAGATCAAAGATGAGCACGTTCTTCTCGCCCGAGCTGCTTGATTTCTTGTCCAGACCGTATGCAATCGCAGCAGCAGTAGGCTCATTGATGATGCGCATGACATTGAGGCCAGAGATGACTCCGGCATCCTTTGTTGCCTGGCGCTGGGAGTCATTGAAGTAAGCAGGGACTGTGACCACTGCATTCTTGATCGTGGTTCCTAGATAAGCCTCTGCAATCTCCTTCATCTTCGTTAGGACCATGGAAGAGATTTCCTCAGCAGAAAACTGCTTCTCCTCGCCCTTGTATGTCACAACTATCATAGGCTTGTCACCAGGTCCAGCAATCACCTTGAATGGCCATAACTTCATGTCACTCTGCACGGAGGGATCGCTGTATCTCCTCCCAATCAAGCGCTTAGCATCTGCATTAAATCAATTACAGAAAACAGATTTCAGAGCATGATTGAGAAAATAAGAATCAATCCACACGTTAATTCTGAACGTAATGAATGTAGATCAGAAAGTTCATCTGTTCTTCCCAATCACTATTAGCAACTAAATTACTCTGTAATTCAAATTCAGAAAATAGATTTCAGAGGACGATTAAAAATTCATACACACGTAATGAATGAAGATCGGAAAATTCATATGCTCCTCCAAATCAAGCTCTAAGCAAATAAATTACTCTGTGAATCCAATCTAGAAAATAGATCTTACAGGCCGCAAATTGAGAAATCATCTGGAGGTTAATCGATAGTAAACGTAATGAACGAACATTAAAACACGAAGCCTAAAAGCCCTAATACTATAAACATCAGCATTAGAGAAGAATAGAATTTCCGCTCTACCGAAGCCTGAAGGATATTGAAGGCAAATACACTGAGATGAGATGAGAAACTTACCGAAAACGGTGTTGATAGGGTTCATAGCGACTTGATTCTTCGCGGCATCGCCGATGAGACGCTCAGTGTCAGTGAACGCGACATAGGATGGCGTCGTCCGGTTGCCTTGGTCGTTGGCTATGATCTCGACACGGTCGTGCTGCCAAACTCCGACGCAGGAGTACGTCGTCCCGAGATCGATTCCGATGGCAGGTCCTTCACCTTTTCCGGCCATATCCGTCTTCCTTCAGTCAAAATCAAAACGCAGAGTATGAAACAACGCTATAAGAAAGCTTTGAGAGCTCTTGATGAAAGCTTCGCAGATTCAATCGAGTTTTGCGAGAGAATTGTGAGAGGATTGGGGAGGTAATAAAGGAGGAATCGGGGAGTCTAGACTGTTCTACGCCATTCGAGTATCTTCTCTCCGGTATATTCTGGAGATTATGGAGGTTCGAATTCGACCTTCTACTTCCGTCTAGATGCTTCGAGAAAGGTTTCTAATGAGTACTCCTATTTTTATTAAAAACATTTAGACATCCAAATTACCCGAGTATAATTCTTTCACACTTTCACTTCACTGCATTAATATTTTTATACTGAGTATATAAGAGTATATAAAATATACATTTTTCGTCCTAAATTTGATTACAAATTGAGATTTACGAGATAAAATATATTCTATATGTGTGTGTGTGTGTTCAAAATAGTCTCAAATTTTGGCAAAATTTTACGTAAAAAAATTTAGGACAAATAAATAATTCATTACTTCATGACTTTAGTTGGGTATTTATATTTTTTATTTTTAAAAATCAATTCATTTATTTATTTTTTATACTGTGATGAAATTAATTATGTTATATAATTAAATTTGTGAAAGATAAATATAGTATTGTTCATAATAAAATTATTAAAGAAAAATAATTATATAAAATATAATTATATGATAAATATTACTCCGTATGTTGTAGCAAAAAATACAATTGGTATTATCACTGACCATTTCTAGACTAACATTTTTTATGAATCAAATTTTTAAATAAGTGCATACACAATAATGATCTATTTTCATTTAAAAGTATTTTTATAGGAAAGCATCAAATATATTTATAATTGATCCTTTATTTATAAAATTGATATTTTAATCTCTAAGAAGCTGACATGTAGTGTTGTTTACGAACCATTTCTCACACATAAAATATATTATAGAAAGTAAGAAATTAATATTATGGTATGAAATCATTCAGTACAATTAATTATGGAAGAGATTAGAGATATTCGTTTTTGTAATAGATTATTTCCTAACTATGCTTATTTTTCTATTCAATTATTACGAAACTTCTATAGGTGTGTCTGGCGAGCAAACAAAATATGAGTTTTGATATCGAGATATCCAAATCATTTTTGGTGTTTGGTAAAGTCAAAAGAGATACCGAATTTTATATTTCTAGATATCATAAATCTTTAAAATGGATGGTCTCAATATTTCCCGAATTTGAGAGATATCAATATGGGGCTTTGATATCTCTCTCAACTGTTGATCATTCTCCACCACTAGCTACCATAGTCACCGCCAACCACTCTCATTGTCAATCACTCCCGCTTATCACTAATTAAATCTTGAATTTAAATCTCTCCAACCAATCATTTCAGATTACAAATTGGCCCTAAGTAACTAATACTCCATCCGTCCCCCTGTATTTGTCCACTTTCATTTTTGCACACCATCCAATGCACTTCTTTAATCCATTTTATCTTGTAATTTGTATATTAAAAAGTTATAAAAATTATATATTAATAATCTATATGTTAAGACAAATCAAACAAGATCACACATGACCATATTTAGGCTTACACATTGAGAGAATTTGATGAGTCAAAGTGCTTAAATGAACAGTTCCAAAAGTCAAATGTGGACAAATACAGGGGGGGCGGAGGGAGTAAGATATTTCTTCACTTCTAAATAAATTTAACATTTTTATGGTCAGTTTTGATTATATTTATTAAAGGATTGATGTAAGTTAATAAACAATAGACTTATTTTAAAACTATAATAAAACTTTATAAAACATGAGAAGATTAGACTATGAATTGTTAAAGTAGGTAAAATATACTAGATATTATTTGGTAATTTGAATATATTAATTTCATGGTTTGATATAATTACTATATATACTAGATATTTCATGGTTTGATATGGTTTGAGTCACGGTGATTGCGGGTCCTTCAGACCAGTGGCCTTCTCCAATTGCCAAAGGGATGCTGACGTTGAGCGAACCGATCGATCATATGGCTAGCGGTGGTAGATTGGGCGATCAATGGGAAGCTTCAGTCACATGTGAGATCAGTGTTGGCCATCTTTGAGAACCATTGATGACTAGGGTGCGGTTGTATTGGAGAACGGATCTAAACAAGGATGCGGCGGAGAAAAAGCTCTAGCGATTCTATTCGAGAAGGCAGAGTGACAACTCCAGACTGTGAGGATGCAAAGTGACAACTCTATCTCGAAGGCACTGTGAGGTCAAGCCACGACAACCTCAGCTGCCAGTCGTGATGATGGTGACGTCGTCGTCATCCCCAACTTCGATCCAGGATCTAGTTGTAAACAGATTGAAATTGATTTTATCAACTCTTTTTGTCAAAACAGACTTGTGCCGATTTGGAGTCCCCCCAACATATTATTACTGACAATGGAACCCAGTTCAGGTCTGAGGAATCAGAATTCGAAGAGGACATTGTAGCGAAGGAGGAACTGAACTGGGAAGCACAGAAAACTGGTCGGGGCGCAATCGCAGTCGGGGTGAAAAACGATAAGAAAGGAGGCGCTTCAACGACAGGTTTATCAAGTCTGGGAAGGAGACAAGAGGACAGATGATGATTGTTTTTCTGGGTAATCGAATAAGGGATCGCTCAGATCTGTTGAGAGGAGGAGTACGTGGACATCGAAAACTCCTCATTCCTCAACGTGACTCGTCTGATGGAATGAAAAGTTGGGGGGGCTTATGATGGGCCGCTACCCACCGGGTAGCCCAACTCGTGTACCCAGGAGCATTTTGGAAGTCGTGGATATTCTAATGTCAACGTTGGGTCGGCCTAAGGCCCGAGCTGACCCAAATGAAAGAGTCGTTGGCGACACGTTTGCTGGGAAGAGTCTGCGACTAGGTTGCGGAAGATGAGCCGTAGAATTTGGATCGCGTGATTCGTGGGAATTAGCTTCTATAATTAATAATTATATTAATTATGTAAAGGGATATTTATAAATAGGATGGATCGTCACAGGGATCCTCAATAAAAAAAAACCTAGCGTAATACTTTGCAATTCTTGAGTTATTTGATTAATAATATTGTTCTTGCGATCCGCCCATATAGTTGGATCACCTGGTGGAATTCTTGTCTATTAGGACTATCACTATGATTCAAAAATATTAATTTAAAAAAACCATTGAAAATCCAATTAATATACCCCCTACATGAGTTCAAAAAAATTAATATATCAAATATTAGTAATCCCATGATTCTGAAAAGTAATTACCAAAAACATTTGACAGGTTTTTTTCAATGGTTTTGTTTTTTATTCGAATACAAAATCATTAATTTAAAAAATATTTAATTTAAATATTGATCATTTAAGAAATAGTCTAGTCATTTGTAATATTTTAATATAGAGATTAAAACATTTTTAAATTGTACATGATTATTTAAATAAATAGAATATAAACTAACTTTATTTAAGCATGTAACAAACAAAAATGAATTTTTAGAGGTTAATAAGATATGTTTTATTAAGAAAGGAAATCTTATTTATTTGTTAATAATTTTATTATAAATGAAGTGAAAAAATATAAAATTATAAAATATACTATAATAAAAGGGGTGATCTTTAATGCATAATTAAATTAACACATTAATGTTGAAATAGTAAATAATGTTAATGTAAATATAATATGTGGTGGTGACTCATTTTTGTTCAATTTTATTCTATAATTTAACCAAAAATATCACATAATAATACACTGAATTTTAAGTTTAATTGAATCCAAGGAGAAATATTGTACTAAAAATTTTACTCAAAGTTTTATTAGTCAAAAAAGGAATTTTTCTTTTTATATTAGTAATTATATTTTATGCAATACTATATTTATGTTTCAATAATTTTATTATGTCACATAATTTATGTTATTATATCATTAAAGATATATAATTAATGAATGTTACAAAAATAATAAATTCTTTGTTTATCCTAAATTTTATGTATATTATGCTAATATTTGGCTAATCTAAACACATTGTCTTTATATGAAAATAATTTTAAACATTATTTTATAGTTATTAAATTTTACTTTTTAAGTATGTATTTTTTATTATTTAATTTCATACAAATTATTATATAAAACAAATTAAAAATCATTTCTGTCAAATATCATAATAGAAAAAAAATTGTTGATAGAGGGAGTATTTATTATAAACTTTCATACACTAATAAACTTTCAATAAAGTTAATTAAAAACGGGTACTTTAAATTTTTAAAAAGAGACGTTGTAATTAAGATAAAGAATCGAAATTATCAGATGTTGCGGAGAAGAAATTTCACAGAATAGTAAGCGTAAGATGGTAAGCTTATTTTCTAGAATAAGAAATTGTAGATCTTATCTTGCGCACGATATTTTGCCTAAAGAATCTCTGGCCATCTGTAAAATACGTAGAAGGAAACTTCTAGTCAATGCTTTTGCTGACATGACTGCTGAGGTGTTAAAAATTGTTAGTCAGCAATGCCACATGTCTTAATTCTAAAAGCTCCACTTTCAAATTATATATATAAAGATAAAGACGTGTTGGTGTAGATTATGATTCTAAATAGGGTATGTAATCTCATACGTTTAAATTGTGAATCGGAAACCATGAAGTTGCCCAAAAAAATTAGGGAAATCATGAATGAGATACAAATTTATGAATTGAAAACAAATGTTTGGGAAACTAATTAAGAAGAATACAAATTGAATAACAATTACATATGAATTTTTGAAACAAACATAATTCTTGAATCATTGAAAAATTCTGATCAAAATCAGGGATTCTTCCTTTCCTTTGGCGAAGAAGAGATGCAAAAAAAGTGTGTAATTTTGACAAAGAAGCGACTTGTCTTCTGGTAAAGAAGTTTGATATTTTCTTTTGGCGAAGTAGAAGTGCCTAATTGGCAAAGAAGTAAATTTGGAAAAGCTTTGGTTTATCGGCGGAAGAAGTAAAAAGCTAAGCCAGAGACACTTATTTCATATTCTCTTCATTTAATCTGATTCAAATAAATTCTAATTTGATCAAATTTGAATTTAGTAATATTTAAAGTTATTCAATAATAATAAGTTACTCCATAAGAAAACTAGAAGGATGTATTAGCAGCATCCCTTGTTGCTATATCCGCTAATCTCCAAGAGTCCAATCGTACGGAGTAATTCGTAACTGGAAAATGGCCAGAAAGTTTTTCGTAGGCGGCAACTGGAAATGCGTAAGCGCCATCCCCCCTTCTCACTGTAGATTTTACTTGATCTCAATTCGCATGTCATTTCCTCTGGTTTCCGGTTTGATTTGATCCTTCTACCATGCGTTTATGCAGTTCTGATTTCCTTATTTTTTTAAAAAAATTCATGTGGCCCGGATTTGTTTAAGCACTCGATGGTTTGCTCTTGGTGTTGGAAATGATTAACCTTCTGATTTTATGGGGTGTGCAGAACGGGACAGCCGAGGAGGTGAAGAAGATTGTGACCACATTGAATGAAGCTGAAGTTCCATCTGAAGATGATGTTGGTAAGATATGTCATTGATAAAAAGCAATCAATTAGAGCCAAAATTTTAAATGTCTTTGTTATTTCGACTAAATTTCTTGTTTTTTTTGTTGAATGATTAAAATTAGTCTCTCTGTACAGATGAGTTTTTTCGGTCTTATACTAGGTTAAACGTAAGTTCGATTCAGGGGACTCTTTTTTCAGGGGAGGATGAATTATTCAGGGTCTTATTTTCATTTCGGCTTATAATGTTGATGTTCTTTTCAATTCGTTTTATTTAAAAGTTGGGTAGAAATAAAACTAAAACAAACAACAACAACAACAACCCAGGTGAATCCCACAACGGTAGGGTCTGGGGAGGGTGTGAAAACTAAATCAAATCTTGACGTATGAGACATTGCTATTTTGTCAAATGATCAATGAAGATACGTGATGAAAAAAATTTTGTTTCGACCTTGTAATAGTAACTGGGAATCTGTTTTGGGGACGGAGGAAGCAATACTCTCAGAGTCAGAACCATGATGAAGAAGTATAGAACAAACTTATAAGTGAACTGAAACTGGGCTAGTAAAGGCATTTAAACGAGTATTTGCTAATTCTTCCATTTTGATCCGCTCTCCTCTTCCCATTCCCCCTCCCCTCCCCCAAACCATATAATAGGTTAAATTGTGAAACTAATTCATGCTTGAGTGCTTTTTTCCATGCAGAGGTTGTGGTCAGTCCTCCTTTTGTGTTTCTTACATTGGTCAAAACATTACTGCGGCCTGATTTCTCTATTGCTGCCCAGAACTGTTGGGTTCGAAAAGGAGGTGCTTTTACGGGTGAAGTAAGGTATTTTTAAATTATACCCCTTTATGATGTTTGGTCCTATTCAGCTGAGGTAATATGGAGTGGAAAACTGTAAATATGCTAAAGAGCATTTGCTTCAAGAGTTACTGTTAGTCATGTCCGTAGAAAAACATCTTTCTCTTTATCATGCTTATCAATGGTGCAAATGGTGATCGTCATTTTGCGCAATTGGCGATTTGGGTCTTCATCACCACAAAATATGCCCTTGGTGATGGATATCCTCATGGCAGATCCATTTCCACGCCATTGCCAGTTTGTTGCCATTTTTTACGCACACTAGGTTAGCCACATGCCCACATTAGATTCTGACTTCATTTAACTTCAAGAATATCATGCGCTCTGGCTTGGGAACATTGTACAAGGCTGAAAGAAGACTCAAATAATGACTTAATATGCAATTTTTGTGGTCATTTAAGTAGAGCTGGGATTACAAGATTTAAACAGCATTTTTAGGGGGCATTGCAACTCAACAAAAATGTCCATTGGTTCTTGAAGCTTTGAAGGTATCTCTCCAAGCCTTGGTTTTGAACGAGGCATGTTTACAAGAAGATAGAAATGTTGTAGAAAATACATTTCAAAGAACATATTGAGTAGAGAAAGAGCCAGAAGGGATGAACACAGAGAATGGAGAAAACTATGTATTTGTAAATTTAGTTAATTAGTTGTGTCGTATGGCGATGTCATTTTTGCGCCATCGCCATGATTGTTTCCTTGTGACACGACAACTATGTTTTTATCTTGATTGTGTAGTGCTGAGATGCTCATAAATTTGGGAATTCCATGGGTCATCCTTGGTCATTCTGAGAGAAGACAACTGCTGAACGAATCAGATGATGTAAGATATCTGTGTGGTGTAGATAACATGCTTCTGTTTTATCTTCTGTGTATTTGTTTTACCTGTCATATTTTCAATAGTTTGTAGGGGATAAAGTTGCATATGCACTTATCCAAGGCTTAAAAGTCATTGCTTGTGTTGGAGAGACTCTTGAGCAGCGAGAATCAGGAGCTACAATGAAAGTAGTTGCTGCACAAACAGAAGCCATCTTTGGTACATATCTGATTCATCTGAATTTGAAACTATCTATATGGACTAGTAACTCTTTGCGTGCTAGAATTGATCTCAACTAAAGTGTAACTTTGCTACATGTAGTTTTGTGAACATTTGTAACTCTAGAGATAGATCTTACATTACCTATTTTTGTTATGTTCGTGTTTCTACTTTGTAATTTTTTGTTTCACTTTTCTTTCTAGACAAGGTCTCAAATTGGTCCAACATTGTTTTAGCTTACGAGCCTGTTTGGGCTATTGGAACTGGAAAGGTGGCCACTCCTGCTCAAGCTCAAGAGGTAACATGACAACCTCTATTAGATGCTCCATCCATCTCTTATTTAGGTCCCGGGTTTTACTTTGCATGTTTTTTTTCATATTGTATTATTTGGCTATTGACTTCCAAATTTTGCTTTTTGGTGACCCAAACCAGACCGAACAAGCCCAATATTCCCACTCAGAAGTAGGGTCTTGTGGGAAAGATGTAAGCAGAACTCACTTACCTCAACCTTAGAGAATCAAAATTCTGTTTCATAGAGCTCTCAAATAAAGGACAAGCTTGAGTCTAGACACAACATTAAACAATCAAGAGCAAAGAGGACACAACCCTCAACATCACTCGAATGTGATCCTTACAAATGCTCTACCACCCTAGAACAATGAGACCAAAAAGTCTTATCAAAGGTCATGTACTCCCAGAGGTTTAAGGTCATCATGTCCAATCTCAGAGTGTGTGACATTGTCATTATTGTGCCCTTTTTCTTTGTCTTTGGATGATTAAGCCCCAAAAATTGAAACTATCAACTTGTGGTACTCTGGCTCCAGTTCAAACTTCTACTTATTGTGGTTCACGCTAGAGTTACACCAAGGTAATCGTTATCAGAGCAGCTAACGTGCAAACCATGAGCTTCCAGTGTTGCCCCCACTACTTAAGTTCTGCATTCACCCTTCCCTCGTCGTTTCATCAACTAGCACAACATTGTTAAGAATTCACAACCAAAATCACACTTCCAAGACGCCCCTCTAACCTCCAAGTTCTTGTAAATAACTTTTTGTGGGATAGTGTCGTAAGTGTTCTTTCGGTCTATGAAACACCATGTGTGCATTGCTACGCTCTTTATACTTCTCATTGTGGGAAGGTGAATTGCCCCAACGGTAGTTCTTGGCATGAAAACAAATAGATTTACAGGCTAAACAGCTTAGCACCACAGCAGTCACATAGTTCTATGTGTTGACTCAGTTCTTATAGAGCTGCACCACTGCACTGAGCATCCACACGTGCCTCTTGGCAGTTTTGAGTATGATGTTAAAGAGATCCGTTAGCCATTGTGCTTTGCCCCCCAAGCACTGCCACAGCTCAATGGAGATTTTATCAGAGTCTAGTGCCTTGGCTCTCCCAATTATGTCAAGTGTCCCCATAACTTCCTCCTTAATGATACGTTCACAAAACTTATCTTTGCATGGTTTCAATTGTTCTCGTTCTTCCCCAAAACCAATTCTCTTTCATTTGCCTCATATTTGCGTGGTTGCATCTACTCATATGCTTCACCTTTAGCCTCTGCAACCATCTTCTTCTTCTCTCTCTTAGCCTCCTTATAAGACTCACTCGCCTTACTCTTCCCCTCCTCCTGACAGGCTATGTAATATTTAAAACACGCTTGTTAATCTTGACCTTAGCTTGAAGTATTATCATCATTCCACCACCAAGACTTCTTTTGGTCAATCTCTTCGTAGAAACAATCAATGCACAGTTGCACACACTTTGATTAAAAAATCATATTGGTTGTTGCCTTAAACCTCACATATGCATCTACTCTAACAAAGTATCTCCTTGTGTCCCCCTTTTAATTTTAAAACAAAACAAACTATTTGGAAACATTTGTTCTACAATATTTTCAGTTATCCATTTATTCCAAAACTGTTTGACTGCAAATGAAACATTCTTTTAACAGGTTCATTCTGAACTGAGAAAATGGCTTCATGACAATGTTGGCCCAGAAGTTGCTGCATCAACTAGGATCATCTATGGAGGTATATTCAAACAATTTTATATATTGCAGGGCAGCTTGTTACCCATGATAAGATTGAGCATTATTATGAACAGTAGACCGATTTAACGGCCAGGCTTTTTTTCATATGGGCTCATAGTTTATAGACAATTGTCCAACGGTTTGAATGGATTATGAATATAATAATCATGTCTTTTTTGGATTCATATTCATTTGTCCTAAAATAATAACTTCAGGTTCTGTGAGTGGAGCAAATTGCAAAGAGTTGGCAACAAAGCCCGATGTGGATGGGTTTTTGGTTGGCGGGGCTTCTCTAAAGGTTTGTTTGTTAAAGTCCATGAACATTATGATTATTATAGTTGTTATTTTTATATGATCATTATAGGCTTTATTCCAATGCTAACATTGCCACAAATTTCGTGTTAACGTAGCCTGAATTTATCGAGATAATCAAGTCTGCCACTCTCAAACAAAATGCTTGAAGAAGATCCTCGTCTGGTGCCCGCCACCTCTTCTTTGCAATGAAGTTATGTTTCTGGTTTCTCTTTCGAGGTACATGTGTGATTTTGAGTTCCGTGTTTTTTGTAAAACAACTGAGAGAGATTTACTTAATGATTCCTTGATTTGGATTTCCTGCACCATTGTGATGGTTTTCTCTAGGTGTGTCATGTGTGAGCTCAAAGGGTACATTCTGTCTATTTAGATGTTAGGATTGAAAATTCTGCTACTTTGACAAATTGAAGGACTTTATTAAAATTTAATAAAGTAATGATTATCAAGGTAAAATTTAGTTTTTGTCAAAGTAACGGAACATTCAATCCTAACAGCCAAATAGACGGAATGCACCCTCGAAGTATATTACCATAAATTTTAAGGATCCCAAAGTTTATTTCAGATAATGTAGAGCCTGAGAGTTTTTTCCAGAAAATCAAGAGTACTCCAATATATTTCAAAAAATGTAGGACCCGAGAGCTATTAACCAAAAAACAAAGGTATCCCAAAATAATATTTTGCATTTTCGTGCTCTATTTGTCAAAAAGAGTTGTTATACGTCGCAGTCTTCTTCTCCCATTCACCATACCCAAAAGGCGTTCTCTTAGGAATAACTTTCTACTCCAAGTTGTAAAGTGACTGATAAAACTATCAGTCTTTTTCTTTACCCCAAATTCTCAAACTAATGTAATACTCCCTTGTCCTCCCAAAAAAGTTTTTCTCGTCTTGAGGGTACATTTTGTCGATTTAGATGTTAGGATTGAAAGTTTTGTACTTTGATAAATACTAAATTTTACCTTAATTATTACTCTAGGGTATTTATTAAATTTTAATAAAATCCTTCAATTTGACAAAGTAAAGGAACTTTCAATTCTAATGCTTAAATGGATGGAGTGTATTTTTGTAGTATAATATCACATATTTTAAGGACCACATAGTATATTTTAAATAATGCAGGACCTAAGAGTTTTTACTAGAAAATCAAGAATACCTTAGAGTTTATTTTAGATAATATGTGACCTGAGAGGTTTTATTAAAAAATTGATGTTACTCTGAAATATTCTGTAATCTTATGCAAAATTTATCACCTTAACAAATTTCAACCGTAATTTATACTCCCTCCATCCCATTTTATAACGCCTGTTTCGGTTTACGATGTTTGACTGAAATTATTTTCAAAACATTTTATATAACAAATGATATATAGTTAAAAAATAAAAATTACATATTAAAATACTACATTAAAAGATCTACAAAAGTAGTAGTGACAATAGTATTTTATTTTATCAAATTGCTAACGAAAATAGAGAAAGAAAGTGAATGAAGTTTGACCCTGTAAATAGTGAACAAACATTATAATTTGAGACGGAGAGAGTACAATTTTTACTTCCAATTAGTTACGTACAATTGAGTGAATGAAAACTTTTTAATTACGACGGAGTAATACTGTTTTATTCAAAATTTATATAGGCTAAATAAAAATAATTGAATAACTAATCAAAATTTTAACCCAACCTTATCTTTCCTCGACATAGACACATGTTTGCGAACATGGGCGTGTTTCTGAGCCCGCCGGTAGTCTGCATTTTGAGCAAAGAAACAAAAGTTGAGAATTACTCCATCCGTCCGGAAATATTCTTCCCATTTAATTTTTCTTGGTCAAAGTTTGTAAACTTTGATTATGATATGCGGAAAAAATACATTGTATTACGATATTAGTAGTTAAAGTATAATACCGTAGTCAAAGTATAATCTTGGAGATCATAAAAAGTCAAATGGAAAGAACATTTCCGGACGAAGGGAGTAAGCAAAGAGGGTCCTTTAAACTTGTCATTACCCTCTACATAGACAAAATTGAAAATGCTCAATATTTGTACGTTTCTCTTTTAAGAATTTAACTTTGCATAGTGATTTTACTCCGTGTGATAAGTTAACTTTTGCTTTTCTCAACTACTCCTTCCGTTCCCCTGTATTTATCCACATTTGACTTTTGGAACTGTTCATCTAAGGACTTTGACTCATCAAATTCTCTCAATATGTAAGCTTAAATATAGTCATGTGTGATCTTGTTTGATTTGTCTTAACATATAGATTATTAATATATAATTTCTATAATTTTTTAATATACAAATTACAAGATAAAATGGATTAAAGAAGTGAATTGGATGGTGTGTAAAAATGAAAGTGGACAAATACAGGGGGGCGGAGGGAGTATTATTTTGTACATAGTAACATAGAACACCGTTTTGGAGAAGTACTAATGAAGTACTTTTTGCTTTTAGCTTTTGAGGAAATCACCTTATCCGCAAGTTAATAACTTTCAAACACCGTCTTAGAATTCTAATAGCATGTTGGGTATAGTGGCAAGGAAGCTACCAAATGTTTTTTCCACATTCAGTTTTTGAGCCTTGCGGGTGTGTTTATTAGGTTGAGATAATAAGATTCAACGGATATTATACTAATGGATATGAGAGCTAATAAAAAAAGACTACTTAGAATTAAAACATGGTTCTTTTATAATAGTTAAATTTTAACTTTTTGTATTGAAATACTCCGTAAGACACAATACACAATGTCACATTGCGGGTATTTTACAGTGCCAACACTTTTATTTATCGTATAAAATGTCTTATTTAAGTTTATCTCGAGGACTATTTTTGTAATTATGTATATAAATTTCTTTTTGGATAATAATTAATTGCTCCTTTCATTCTTCTACTTATGCCTTTTAGTTTAGAATTTATATAAAAATATATCTAATTAAAGCTTGAAAATTAATGTAAAATTTAAAATTAAATTCACAAATTTATTAAAAACAAAAATAATATGACATAATTATATTAATTTAGCAAATAAACAGTCAACATAAAAAAACTACAAAAAAAAGTTACTCCCTCCGTCTCTAAATATTTGCCACACTTGTATTCCCGAGGTAAAATATCAAGTTTTTTCAATTCATTTTATTTACATATTGATATAGAAATAAAAAATAAAATTTACATATCAAAAAACTGCATGAATAGTTTTTCAAAATAAGAGGTGTCAAGAATATTTTATTTTATCAAATAACCAATGAAAACGTAGAAATAAACAAAATTTCCCGCAACGCTGAAAAAGCAAATGTTGCAAATATTTAGGGACGAAGGAAGTAATATTTTTTGAAACTTAACACTAAACACAAAAAATTGTAGATAAAAAAAAGTAGAGAGCATGTAGTAGAGTAGTAGTAGTATGTACTTTCAACAGATACTACTAGAAATGCAGTTGTACTGAACAGTGTACTATCATGCCTATTTAATGACTCCCGTGCCCTTGCCCTACCTGACTAACTTCCTACCTGCCCCTCTTTTTAATCCAATATTAATAAAATCATCCGCCCAAAAAATCAATGGATATGGGAGCGATGCACGGGATGGCGCCGTCGTCCGCCGCCGCGAACGGCACCGCGCACCGCCGCCACATGATGATGATGCACATGACCTTCTTCTGGGGAAAGGACACCGAGGTCCTCTTCTCCGGCTGGCCTGGATCGGGCCACCTCGGCATGTATCTGCTTTCCCTGGCCGTCGTTTTCGGATTGGCGGTTCTGATCGAGTGGCTGTCGAATTGCAATTACATCAAGGACTCCGCCGACCACGTGGCGGCCGGAATCGCGCAGACCGCCCTGTACGGATTCCGAATCGGGCTTGCCTACGTCGTGATGCTCGCCGTCATGTCTTTCAACGGCGGCGTGTTTCTGGCGGCCGTCGCTGGACACACGCTCGGTTTTTTCTTCTTCGGGAGTCGGGCTTTCAACAAGGCGCCGCCGCCGCCGCCAGCGACGGCGTACGGGAAGACCACCGATCTTCCGCCTATGAGCTGTAACTGCTGAGAAATTTATCATTTTGAATATCTCCGTACGAAATACTGTACAAAAGCAAGTTTTTTAAATGTTTATTGATATTGATTAAAAAGGGATGAACCTCAATCCTCCAAGTCCCAGTGTTTCCCAGCTCAGTTATCAATAAATGTTTATTGGTATTTTATTATCAATAAAACAAGATTTAGGATTTTCATGATTTTTTTTTCAAAATAAGATTACACTGTGTTAATGTGACTATGTCCTGTGGTAATGTGGCACTGTACATGTACATGACCATGTATTGTAATGTAAGTTTTATTTCGAGAATAAAAACATGAAAATCCTATTTTGATATATTTTCAATGCTTTAGTCTTCTTCCTTTTGAATATACTCGCTATTTTCATTTTCCTTTTATTGAAAATGTTTTCTTAAGAATGTTGGTAATACGTATGAAGCCTTTGGGCTTTAAATCGAAGCTTCAAAACTTCTCTCTTTGCCACGTCAGTTTGAAGCCCGTGGCGCTTCAAACTTTTATTTTTTAGTACACATTTTATAATATTAAATTAAATAAAAATTAATTTTAATTAAATTTAAATGACAATAATTTATTAAATAAAAAAATTACATTTACTAAAAAAACATTTAATAAAAAATATATTTATAAAAAATAAGGCAATTATATTTAGCCTTGATCTCTTTTTGGTGCGATTGGTTTCGATTGACTCTCCAGAACCGACTCTGGGTCGCGGAGATTCACCGAGGTTTGCGTATCATACACCGACAGATTGTCGGCGTATGATTGGAAAAACCACATCACTTACTCGTTTGATCGAAATCCGACGAATGAACATTAAAACCAAATGGATTTATGTTAACAAAGATGAAAAAAATTTGAAGATTTTTTTTTTGTTTGAAGAGGAGAGAGGGAGAGAGATAGAGAAGTGTGTGTTTGATGTTTAACGCGGCCCCGGCATTAAACACCGGGTGACGCCACCGGTGTTAAGGGCATTACCAATGCTCTAACTATGTACTCTAATCTTTTTAGGTCATCTCCCGTTATTATACTAAACTATACTCAAAATGCATTAAATATCAAATGAAACACTCATTCATATCTAACCCATTACACTAAATTCAAACTCAAAACAATATTCTCACATTATTTAATTTCTCACTACTTTTTGGAAGATATTTTCAATAGAACTATTAATTGATGCAAGCTATCAAATATCAATACCCTTTAATAATTTTAAACAAATTAAAGAATTTTATAATAAAAGTTATAGTAAAATATGCCAAAGAATGAAACAACTAGAAAATATAATTACATTAAAACACAACATATAAACTAAGCTTTTTTTTATTGTAGCGAAACTACAAGCTCATATCAAAATTACATAAAAAATTAACCACAAAAGAAAAAGAAATAAATAAAAGAAGTACGGAGTATAAAGTAATCTTTGAATATACAAAGCCAAAGAGGAAAGATCAATGGTAATTTATCTCGCCTAAGGTTTTGGGTAGAGCAGTGGGTCAGAAATCGTGTTTGGTCGAGTATGGGCAACTTCAGTTTTAAAATGAGCATGCAAGTGTAAGGAAGGCCGTGAATTAATCATTATTTTTCCCTTGGGTGTATGTTTAGTCCGCTGCATTAAATGTGCAGCTCAGTTGGTCGAGAATGTGAAATCTTGGACCAATGACCAGAGATCGAGTCTCGCAAGCAGCAGTGTGGAGCTATCCAAAAATCTTATAAAGGATGAGGAGGCTCCTTGTGCGCAGTGACATAGGTCTAGCGTTCTTCGCCGACTGAGTCACCATGATTTACCTCCTCCACCATCCTTGTCGGGCCAGGGGATGGAGGCGCCTGGAGTGGGCGATTCCACCTTTCGGACCGAATAAATAATGGTCATTGTATTGAAAGGTGTGTGTAGGCGATTATAGTAATAAATAGCTAAGTGTATGTGATATTGTGAATACATAATTAATAAACATTGTAATGGGTGCGTGTGTAAGCAACTAGAGTAGGTCCATTCTTTTTCAAGATACTTTATAAATCAACATTTCACATTTTCACTCTTCCTAACAAATTATCCATTACATTAAGCTTTTGCATTTTTTTCTCTCATGCTCTTTTTCTAAATGACATTCAAAACTAGAGTATAGTCCATTCTTTAATAAAAATCGTATTGTCATCAAACTTTTTTTTATAATGAGCATTTAGAAAGAGTAATATCGGGGCATATTACTTTAAAGAGTACATAGAACATTTTTATAACGTATTTAAGAAATTTTTAGTTGAAGGGTTAGTACTTTATTCTCAAAGGTCATAAATATTTTGATGAAAAACCAAATTTTTAAATCGCCAAACGTGGCTCTCTTTTTAATTAATTCGCAACTGTATTCGATTCATTCAAAAAATGCATTCCTAAAAAGAGTTATAAAACTTTTATTTCCATCATTTTTTTTATTATGGCCGTTCACGAAAAATAATATTGAGACATTGTAAACTAAATATGAACTTTTTTTGGAATGGGATGATTAATTGATCAAGATTTTATTTTGACTTGGAAAATTCCATAGAAGTTTAGTATTTTCTTTTATTTTTAATTAAGTTGTTTAATAAACCATGCCTTTAAATAGGCTTTTGTATTGAATAAGATATTCTCTCTTGTAATCTATGTTGAGTTTGAACGAAATTTTGAATGCGTTTGGGAATCCTATGTGAATTATTAATTTGATCATTTGTAGGTTGAGAAATTCACAAAAATTTTGATAACGTGCAAATTGTAAAATTAAATTTTTGGTATTGTCTTGACGAGTGTCGTTGAGGTGCTAAAGTTATACACTAGTGAGTCTTTAAATCACCTTATTTTTAAGCAAGTTCATACAGAAGAAGTCTTGGGAAAACAAAACCCCCTTTCCGCCGAGTTCGAGGGCATCACTCCATTTATTTTTTCTACTAGTTGTTTATTCTTATTTAAATCGTATCTACATTCAACAATATCCTTAAATTATATGGAGTATTAATCACAACCAATAAATTTAAGAGTAAATTTCCAAAACGATACTAAATAACTATGTGTTTTTTCAAATTAGTTCAAAGGACAAACTTATTAGTGAGATGATTATCGTTAATTGAGAAGAATGCTCAGTTTAGTTCCTCAACTAACGACCATCAAAACGGTGCCAAAAAGACATTAAAACTTATTCTAATTTTCTTAAATTTTCATTTCTAATTGTTATTTTCTCAAATTATTCCATTTTTGAAATAAAAATTTATTAAATATGGGGATAAATCTAAAAAAATTATAGACAATTTTTCTTTTATATTTATTTGAAAATAACTTTAGTCAAACATTAGAAATCCAAGTATGAGTCTTATTTTAGAAGAGATGTAATTGTTTATTAAATGTTTAATTTACATGATATTCTTGTAAATAATTTTAAACAATCTTAAACGTGTGCGTTCAACTTTATTAAATTATATTTATAATTTTATTTATTATATTTTCATTCTATAATATTTAAAATTATTTTTCCATACTTAATGATTTTTTATTTTGAAAATTGACTAATTTAAAAGCCACGCAATTCGAAATGATCATTTTCGGAGATTACTGTAAGTTTTAACATCGTCTTGATGCTGTTGTAACGGCCATTAGTCGGCTCACTAAACTCAACATTTTTTTTTAAAAAATAACAAGTACCATCTCGATAATTAATTTATCATTAAATTAATTCAAAAAAACATACTCCCTTCGTCCCCCATAGATCTTCTCAATAGCCCTTTTTTTTGTCCACAATAGATCTTCTCATTTCATTTTTTAACAATCAAAATACCATAACTACCCCCACTTACTTTATTTATTACACCTCACCCACCTCATTTAATACACTCCACCCATATTTCATTAAGGGTACTATGATAAACTTTCACCTTTTTTCAACTCTCCTTAAAAACTACCAAAATTCAAAATGAGAACATCTTAGGGGGCGGAGGGAGTATAATTATTCAGAATGATTTAAAGAAATTACTCTAAATTTAAACCAAGTGGAAACCATTGAGCATATAAGTCAAAACACAAAAGTGCCAAAGACTTCGGACACAGCGGAAAAGTACGATCAGTCAGTCATTAATAATAATTGCCTCCTCATTCGGCCTAAAACCTCATCGGGAAAATATGGCTGCAACCAACTCCACCGCCGTCCACGGCCACATGATGCACATGACCTTCTTCTGGGGAAACAGCGCCGAGATCCTCTTCTCCGATTGGCCGGGGTACGGCCACCACGGGAGGTATATTTTGTCCCTGGCCGTCGTTTTCGCCCTCGCCGTTCTGGTGGAGTGGCTTTCGAATTCCGATTCCCACTCCGCAGATTCCGCGAATCGAGTGGCGGCGGCGCTGCTCGGCACGGCGGTGTACGGATCCAGAATGGGCCTGGCGTATATTGTGATGCTGGCGGTGATGTCTTTCAACGGCGGCGTGTTCATCGCCGCCGTCGCCGGCCACGCGCTCGGCTTCTTCCTCTTCCGGACCGCGGCTCTCAAGGATCCGCCGGTCACGTCGTACGTGAAGAGATCGGATCTATCTTCCGATGAGCTGTAAAAAAAGTAGATGAAGGAATGAAGTCAAGCCTTTTGTATACTGTACTTGTTTGTTAATAAAATCAATTTCTTGTTATGATTATCATTTTGGGCACTTCTCAAATCTGTAATTTTGTTTTCTTGACTATAGATCAAATTACTGCGTCGTGATCAAACTTCGATTTTAGTCCATCCTCACACTTTGCTATGTGGCCCTCCATTTTCGGCGGAACTCCGTATTTCTTACCCTTTCAACCCAAATTAAATTTCAGGTATTTTTTGAGTCTCAAAAAGAGTGTCACATTTCACCATTTAAAGATTACAAAACCTTTTTGTTCTTTGTTCATTTTTATTTAAAACCTTTTTGTTCTTTGTTCATTTTTATTTGAGTAAATTCTCAAAATAGTCCTTTGTAATAATGTGTTTTTTCAATTCAGTTCTCAATAAATTTTAATTACCTACATAGTTCTCTATAATTGAAATTTATTCTCAATTGGGAGATATTTTGATATTTTGATCATCCAAATTTAAAGTATATTCTCGAAATAGTTATTTCTATACAACTAAATATAAAATTGAAAAAGTACATTGACTATAAATAATTCATTAGTTATTTAAAACTTATAAAAAATCTTTAAAATTTTAAACCAAATACAAATATTTAATTAGAAAAAACCATTTTGGGAAAACACTTCTTTATAAATGATCATTTTAAGAATTAATTCTAAATTTAGCAGATAAACAATATCAAAATATCCTCAATTAATCCTCATTTGAGTAACATTATTTACGAAGGACCATCTTGGAAATAAATCTCAATTATAGAAGACCACGTAGGTAATAAAAACTTATTGATGACTGATTTGGGAAAACATCTTATAACAAAGGACCATTTTGGGAATTCACTCTTTTTATTTATTACCGGAGTATTTATAAAATAAAAAATTATTGTTATCGTTTTTTGTTTTGAAAAAAAAAACTTTTGACGTAGTTTTAGATTTATAATTTTTATCTTTTATATCTGTATTAATATTTAAATAAAATGACTTTAAAAAAACTTAGAATTTTACTTTGTTATGCATAATACGACATTCTTTTTGGGATGGGGAGGGGAATTCTAGGAAGGAAAATATTCTTTGGGGTAGTTGAGACCCCCGCTTGAGTGAGCGGACATGAAATTCTTATTGATCAAGTCCTTTAGGTGAGGTCCTATCGGCGAGGATCTTGTCCGCGACTTACAAACTGTTATCGACTTAGACTCTCTAAGTTATCAACGAGTGACATTTTAAGGGAGTGACTGTATATAAATTTCTGACGTATATAAATTTCTGACTTTAAAATTCTTTTCCAATTTTCCGTGCTAGAACATAGAGGGTTCCTTTATGGCACCTTTTCGGTGGAAGTGGTCAAATCTATTTGTGTATTGATCTTTTTCTTTCTCAACATAAATTTAAGCTTCATCAATATACATCAAGCCAATATTGTACTTGGAAACCTATACATTATGTTTGGTGCAAGATATTTGAAAAGGAAGAAAAAGAGAAAAAAGAAAAGAAAAGAAAGTAGGAAAATGATTTTTTTTTTCTATTCTAGTGGGGAAAAAGGGTGAAAATTTCTTCCTTTTCCTTTGAAATTCTACAAACCAAACACAGTGCTAGAATTAGAGTTTATATACTTGGGCTTGTTTCATATTCCTAAGTTGTGGACTGAGTCCGAGCATTTAGCTGCAAATAGCTTAAACGAGCGGCCTCTTTTCGATGGAAACTCGTGGATTTCTTTTTGGGCTTTCCGTTTTCCGCAGGTGTAGAGCCCAACTCACGGTTTCAATGTGGGTTTCCTTCTTGCTTTGGGCCGCATTTGTCAAACTTCCAATATTTAGTACTACCATGCTTACCTTTTAAATGATGTGAAATTTTGTCAAACACAATGCATCTCTTTTTTTGAATTGAAAAGGTAAACTTTCAACTTTTTTCAATTCATCAAGTCTTTTTTTAATTAAAAAAAGTTATTTATATACTTCATCCGTCTCTAAATGATTTATACATTTTACTATTTAAAAATTACGAAAACTTTTATTTATTTGTGGATTTTCATTAATTATTTAATGAAATAAAATATTGTTGTTACCTCTTGTTTTGTATAACTTTGGATGTACTTTTTAAATATGTAAATTTTATTTTTTATTTATATATCATTCTTTAAATAAATTGAATTGAAAAACTTCAAGAATTTACTTCGTTTTGCGTAAAATGTAATGATTTAAGGACGGGAGGGGTATGATTAATATACAACAATATCCCCTTAAAAAATATACATTAAAATTGTATATCTAAATTTATAACACGAACAAAGGTAAATTAATTTTTATCCAAAATTAGTTTTCTTACATATTTATTTGGGTGATCATTTAATTGAATGATTTTTTAATACTTTATTTTTTCGGCATTTTCATACTTTCAATTTTTTTCAACTTTTTTCAATTTTTTCTGCTCCTAACTTTTTCCAGTATCTAACTTTAGAATTCCAATAAAAAAATTAATAGAAATCTAAAGTTTAGGGTTATTTAATTTATATTACCTATGTCCTAGTTTATTTGTCCATTTTGACTTTTTCGAGTCATACTGGATAAACTTTGAACTCTAGTTACTCTCAATTTATATTGCATATTAACATAAAGAAATGCAATTTTGAAAATTCTTAATACGATAAATCTAATAAAGTCATTTTTATGTTAAAATATATTATGGTTTTTATTTAATTGAAACTCAAAATTTGTCGAGTTTAATTCGAAAAAGTCAAACTAGACAAATAACTAGGATGAAGGTAGTATATTTTGAAACCACGTAGATTATTCAATTGTGGTTTTAAAAATCATCAAGAATTCTACAAAAGCGGAGAAGTATTCATCATTAAGTTCAATATTGCGATTATGGAAACTAAAATAAGAGACTCCAATTTCCTTGGGATATGGAGAAGAAACTCTTTCAGGGATGGAGTTCCTGTACTTCCTCCGTCCACAAATAAAGTTTCAATTGCGCGTTACGATGTTTGACTGAAATTATTTTTAAATCATTTTAAATGAAATATGGTATGGAATAAAAAAATAAAAATTACATATTTAAAAACTACATGAAAAGATCTACAAAACTAGAGGTGACATGACTATATTATTTTATCAAATAAGACACAAAAATAGGCCAACAAAGTGAATAAAATTTTAACCATGTGAATAGTGAACGAGAACTTTATTGTTCGACGGAGAGAGTATTTGATTTGCTACCTCCGCCTCACACTATTTATATTCTTTAGGAGTCAAAATTGATAAATTTGATTATAAATTAAATTTTGAAACAAGACTAATTTTATTAAATTTATCTTGTATAGTTTTTTAAAATGTCATTTTATTTAATTATTATATCATATAGTTTTTATTTAATTGTATATCAAATGTCAATTTTGCTTGAGTATAAAAAAAATCAAAACGGTACAAATATTTTGGAACTGATGAAGCATTATTTTCATGTCTCTAACCCCGTGACTTTTTCTGTTTTCTTTGTGGATGGGTAACTCTTCAATTTTGATAATCTTTGTCATTTTTCTTAGCCTCTTAGGATTTTCTAATAATTATTAAAAATTCAATACGAAGCTCGTAGGATCACAACTTGATTTTTTAAGATCTGAAATAATTTTGTCTTGGATTTTTTTAAAATCTAAAACAGGTTTTTTTTAATATTAAAATCTGACGGGGTGTATTATAGGTGTACTGTATTTAGACCTTTTCAAATTTGCAAAAATTAAGATGTGTTCAATTAATTAATTATGTTTTTTTGCCAGTGAGGCGTAACTCAGCGGTTGGCATATGAGTGCTACAGGAAAGAGATTCTGGGTTCAAAGTCTAGTGGGTGCGATGAGGCAACCATGCAAAGCATATGGCTCGTGTAAGTATTAGGCACGAAACCTCACCCTTATGCCAATTGACAGAAATTATAGTTCAATTTATCACCTCTCAATTAACTGTCTGGCCCGTGCTAAGGGCCTTCAGGGATAGGGTGTCATCCTTTTTTTAAAAGAAAAGAAAGCTAGAAGTATAAAAATAATTTAAAATAAATATATTTAAAAGCATCATTCATTTATGTAGACTTTTTACTCATTCCAATATACTTCATGGACTTTTTATCAAAAACTTTTGATCAAAATTTTTTCATCAAAATTTGAAATGTTTCGTTAAAATACTGATTCTCATGGACTTTTAAAATACATTAATACATAAAAACATTGTACAATCTAGGTTCGTTGAATACACCCTGTATATGCTTTTTTTTGTATTCTACTGTTTGGATTTTTATAAAGAAATATTTAAAATCGTGATAGCAGGTATAAATGATCAGTGAATAAAGTTTATTGCTAATTTTGTGCAACAAATTATATGCAACGCATTGGGTGATAAATGTTGGGAGAAGCAGGAACACAAATAATATGTCACATTTATTTTAATTCCACAAATTAAATCAAAGCAGAATAATAATCATATTTATTTTGGACCACCATTGACCCTCATCATAATCATCATCCTTATTAAACAACTTTCACCTTGATTCATTATACACTTTCAAATCCCGACTTTATTTTCCCTTATTATTTATTTATTTATTTCTACCAAATTGAATATAATTAATATTATTATTATTATTATTATGTACACGAATGTTTTAACCTTAAACCCGGGCGACATTAATAAGTCCATTCTTGTGGCAGCTGCGGCATCTCCTGCTCGTCCAATTCCGGGCGCGTTTGGATATCCGAAACTTGCTCTCTTTTCGAAGGAGAATAATGCTCTGTTTTGACACCAACAAAAACGACATCATTTCGTGACACCAGTTCTCTCATGTTTTCCCTGTCCGGTCCACCCGGACCCCCACCCGCATTGCCAATTTGGGGCAATTTGACATTTTTTACGAGCTGGATTGCCCGGATTGTAATTATTCCGTGTAAATTTATAATATCGTGAAGTTGACATTTTTACTTCATTATAACACGACACACGAGCTCATTTTTCCTGTGTCGTCCCGGGTGCTTGATTTCTCAGGGACGCCCCCGACGAAAGATTTAAAAAAAAAAAATAGAGCTCGTGAACACCCCACGAGCATAACAACAAATACTACCTCGTCGTCCCTGAGAATTTGTCCAGTTTTGACTTTTTTCAGTCAACAGTTTTGAACTTTTGACGTATAATTAAGCAAAATGTATATAGTATATTAATTAGATAGGATGTATGGTAGGAAGGAATACCATTGGAGGGGAGGAGGTGAGGGGCAGCACGGGAATTTGATTGGGACTTGTTGTTGCTGTGGTGGAGCTGTAGGACTTGCAACACTCTGGTTGGGATTAGAACTGTTGAACAACCTATATATGCACACCAAACGCAGCTTTAATTGAGGCAGAGGCATTCACTCTTTGTACGTCGTTAAATTAAAAATAGTATAAACAGATATTACCTCGGAGTACTTTGTAACAGAGTCAATATTATTCAAAAAAGTTACATTTTATTTTTTAAGAAATGAATTATGCAACTCATAATCCATATAATTTTACAATTTTAAGTTTCTTAGTTCGATGCACATATTAGGGTTTAATTTTATGGTTAAATTAAGATACTAGAGAGCTTATGTCTACTATTCCAAAAAAAGAAAGCTTATGTCTACTGTCTACATGTAGTCATTGATATTCCTCCTAAAATAATAGTATTTCATATTTTTTTTATTTGTCATAAAAAAGTTTAACATTGTATTTTAAAATAAAAAAATTGTGGGGCTAATATTTTTTTCCCTTTTTTAATCATATAGTTATAATTTTTAATCTCTAAATTCGAATACTTATGAAATATTATACTCCTTTCGTCCCAAAATGTCTTTCCTGTTTACTACTCCCTCCGTCCCTAAATATTTGCCACACTTGTATTCCCGAGACAAAATATCAAATTTTTTCAATTTATTTTATTTACATATTGGTATGGAAATAAAAAATAAAATTTACATATCAAAATACTACATGAAAAGTTATTCGAAATAAGAGGTGTCAAGAATATTTTATTTTATTAAATAACCAATGAAAACGTAGAAATAAACAAAAGTTCCCGCGACTGTTGAAAAAGAAAATGTTGTAAATATTTTGGGACGGAGGGAGTATTACGGCTTCTCGATAACTCTTACTTTTTCTGTCCCAAAAAATTATTCACGTTTCAAAAAACCCGTGTCCCAAAACTTTTTCCAATTTCTATTAAAAAATCACTTTTACTCTTTATCTTTTTATTCCATACCTATCACATCATACTTTTTTTCTAATAATCTATACATCACATCCTACTTTTACCCATCACATCAAAGGTATTTTTGGAAAATCAATATGTCTATATCTTTATGTCCATCCCTTATTTTACCACCTTAGTCAATATGTCCATATTTTTATGGGAGGGAGGGAGAATTTGTTTGCGTGTATTCATTGATCATTTGATAAAATAAAATATTTTTGTGACTTTTTATTTTGTAAAGTTTTCGAATTAGTTTTTAAATATAATTTTTTGATGTGTTATTTTTTTACCAATTTGCAAATAAAATCATTTTAATATCCTCGGGATTTTGCACGTTAATGAAAGTATAAAATTCTTTTTGGAACCGGTATGTGGCAAAAATATCTTTGGGGTCTTAATCAGGAGGAAAAGAAAAGGCAAGTAGGAGAAGTAGTGGTGGTCAGGAATGAATGAATGAAGTGGGCCGGGTTTGGGTGGACAGAGCGGAGGAGCGAGCGCGTGAGAGGACAGACGGCCTGGATCCAGAGAGATTCTAATCCCATGTGGGGAGGGGAGTGAGAGAGATTCCATATGACACACACGGAAAACACAGCTCTCCTCTTTCCCTTTTTTTGGCTGGAGTGACCAAAACATGTGGTAGGGAGGTAAGAAAATTAAAATTAGAGGGTGGGTGGAGAATATGTAGAGATAAATATGTGGTAGAGAAGTGAGTGGAGGTAAAATTGGTAGCAAGGGTGGGGGGTGTGTAGCATGGTCCTTTCTCTTTGCGTTTCTAAAGCATTAATCAATCTCATCCCCGGGGATCTTTACACTATGTTTGGTTCAAGGAATTTGAAGGAAAATGATGGAAAATGATTTTTTCTAATTTTTCTCACCAAAATGAGAGGAATTATTACTATTATTTTCCTTCTCATTTTCTTTTCTTTTCTCTCTCAAATTCTTTGAACCAAACATAGTGTTAAGAATCCGCCAAACAGTCAACTCGGAGAACGATAAATTAGACTTTGACTATAAATTTGTGCCAAACATTGAAAGAACTTTAATTATAAATCTCTTTATTACGTCTTTCTACACCTCTATTGACCAGCGGAACCATGTCCCCAACAAATAAAAAGAATTTAGCAGAAAGAATGAATGGGTGTAGATGGTGTGGTAGGTTGGGTAATGAGTGATATTTTGAGACTTGAGTATGTACTGGCAACAATAATAATAATAATAATAACAACAATAATAATAATAATCATAATAATAAGGAAAATAATAGGAGCAAGAAAAATACATAGTAACCCCACAATGGCAACCATATTATTGGTGAACCGTTCTTTCATTGGAAAGGTTGGTGGCAAAGATACTCATGCATTCCTCTCTCCTACATTTGAAGAAAGATTCTTATTTTTCTTTTTTTTTTGAATCTAAGGAAGAATCTTCCAATGTTTTAAGGAATCACTCCCAATGTTTTAAAAAATCTTCCAATGTTTTACTCCCTTAGTCCCAGGTACTATGATGATTTAAATAAAAAAAGGAAAGAAAAAAGGTTTTTTTTAAAGTATCCATTTTTAAGTGTGAGATTTTCAGATTTACATGTTCACTTACTATAATTATACTAACCGTGGGGTTCTAGTGACACTGATCTTTGGTGACAATAGCGGTGCCACTGTCATTTTGGGGCACTTCCGGTGCTCCGTTCGTAAAATTGACGATTCCTAACCTCCTAACCCACCCCCTAAACCCCTACCCTACCCCCGCCCATGCACCCCCACCCCAACCCCGCCACCCGTAAGCCCCCCGCAAAATGTGTGGCTATTATGCATTGCATAATAGCCACACATTTTGTGGGGGGCTAACAATGGGGTTGGGATGGGGTTTAGGGGGTGAGTTAGGGGGTTAGAAATCGTCAATTTTACGAACGGAGCACCGGAAGTGTCCCAAAATGATAGTGGCACCAGAGTGTCACCGTACTTCGGTGTCACTAAAACCCCACCGTTATAGTAAATATATTAAAACGTTACTGGTATTAAGGAATAGTGAAATTTCCGCTGAATATGACTAAAACATAAGTCATGTCTCAACGTAAGACTTAAACTTTTTTATTCTTTAAATAAGACTTAATAATGTCTCGTGAGAAAAATAATGCCCAAGTAATGCTGGACATTTAATTGAATAATGACTAATAGATAATGACCAATGATCCTAAATTGGAACATAAAAACATATAGTCCTATGTTAACCATAGAAGCACTAATTTATGTGAGGTACGGAGTATGATATGTAACTTGAAAGTGCGGCAAAACTTTTGGAGTATACATCTATTCCTTGCTAGAACTTAGAAGCTAAGTTACTCTTAATGAGTGTCACAAACACTTTATTTCAAAGCCCACCTTTATTGTTGGACAAGATTTTTTGAAGATCTGATCTGATCTGGTCTAATCTGATTGCAGTTATAACTAAAATTGTTTGTGATCTGATCTGGTCTGGTCTGATCTGATTATAATAAGAATAAGTAATAAGCAAAAAAAATAAGTTAAACGAAACGCTGCCTTAGTCTCTTTAGAAAAAAATTGAATTAGAAACATCTTGGGTTGGTGTTAATATCATCATGTATCTCTTCATTAACTAACTCATACATGCTCACTATTTAATTAAAAAAAGACTAGCCTCATCCACGAAGATTTCCAGGATCGGCAGGAAATCACACACTATGTAATTAAGAAAGTGTTGCAGATGAATGAATATGACTGAATTTATTCAAGAATATATCTTAAAATCTATAATTAAAACAGATGTAATAAAATTATGTAATTTTATTAAATGATAAATAAAATAAGGGAAACAATTGTTACATAAGTGATATAGTGACACCATTATTATTGGGCAAATGAGGCATTAATTTTACTCCGTATGTCAATACCTAATTAGTGGTCATTTTCCTAGTTATTTACTCGTCCCTATCACTTGTTTTTAGTAACCACCTCTCTCGATTATTTTGTCTAAATTAAGGCAAATTCTACCATGATATTAGTCAGGTAAAACAAATAATTACTGTTGAGATTAACACTTTTTTTACTATTAAATATACTCCCTCCGTCCCACTCTTTTTGTCCACTTTCATTTTTGCACACCATCCAATGCACTTCTTTAATCCATTTTATCTTGTAATTTGTATATTAAAAAATTATAAAAATTATATATTAATAATCTATATGTTAAGACAAATCAAACAAGATTACACATGACTATTTTTAGACTTACACATTGAGAGAATTTGATGAGTCAAAGTACTTAGATGAACAATTCCAAAAATCAAAACTGGACAAAAAGAGTGGGACAGAGGTAGTAATATTTTATGTGAGAAAATTTACTAAAAAAGTTTTGTAGACCTTAGATGCATTATAGAAGCACTCTAATAATAATAATAATAAAACAAATAGGATTTGGTTAAAATTTAGCTGACCAGATTTGTATCAAATGGGGTAGATTTCAAACGGATACGGAATACTTTTTGCAACTCTTTCCTATGGTGGTTGAAATTTAATTTATCATTCAGTTATAAAATATTTACCAATTCTTTTTTATTAGTGACTGTTTAAGTTTTTCTTCAATTTTTGTGTGAATACTCCGTATTTTTTTTAAAGGAAAAAAATTACGTGAATAGTCTCGCTTTTGAAAATAGTATTTCAATTAATGTTTTCTTTAAAATAATTTTTCATGATGTCGATTAAATTCATGTTTGAGAACAGTTTCAGCGTTTAATTTTAGAATTTCAAAAATGTTATGTAATCAAAGGTCTTTCTAAGAATAGTGTTAGTAAATATAGCGTTAGCGTTAGCGTTTCGAAAAAGTCATCCACAGACAGCGTTTAACGTTAGCGTTTTTCAAAATAATCTACATTCATCTAAAAACGCTAACGTTATTCCCAAACATGTTCTAAAGTTTTAAATATTTGATGTTTTCAATGTTATTTTAAAAAAAAATTATCAAAACACCAACGATATTTTTTTTGTTGGAGAAAGTTATTTTTCCAAAGAAAAACTAATTTAAAACGGAAAGTATGGAAAAAGCAAAGAATAGAGTTTTTACCTGATTTCCTCTTAGATTCCGTTGGGCCGCGGTGGTTGCTGGTTCCGCGGGGGAGGAAAACGCCGGTTCCACTACTACTGGAGGCACCGCCGGTTGCATAACCCGACCCGCCAAGGAAAACCGCCTGCATACCCGACCCGGATTTCAACGCCTGGGACCTTCCGCCGCCGCTGCTTCCTCTTCTTTTTCCCTTCTTCTGCTCCGCCCCGTGCTCAAATCGCTTCTGAGTCGAATCGCCTTTCTCGACTCGCCTTCTTCCCGGAGCGGGGCTGCTCTGTTTCTTTCTCGCCGAAGGTTTGAGGGCCTGCAAAGTATCAGAATTTGAGATTCCGCCCCAAAATACTCCGCGAAAATTGAAATTGTTACCTCTCTGGGCTCGGTGGGGTGGTCCTGAAGAACAATACTCGGGTCTTCTTCCTCTTCGTCGTCGTCCTCAAGCGTGAAACCGGCGACCTGGCGAGTCAACTCGGCGAGGAAGTCTTCAACGCCGTCGCCGTAATCTTCTTCGTCGTCGCTCTCTGTTTCGGTTCGGGTCGAGTCGAGAGACCCGAAGGGCGTGCTGATGCCGGAGGAAGATGTATCGGAAAACCCGAATAAGGAATCGGCGACCCAGATGGGAGGAGGGCGGAGAGGAGGGGAGGAATCCATTGGAGGCGCCGCCGGGAAATGAGTCGGACGGCGGGATGGAAATACAGTCGTGCTTTTGTCGGGGAGTTTTCTAGTGGCTTTGATGTAGGCAAATGAGTACGGATTTCAACTTGGTGGAAGGGTTGAAGAATTATTGTGGGTGTGTTAGACGGCTAGTTTTTTTTATAGGCAAAATATTGGTATCCAAGAATTTGGGTAACCTCATTTATGGTGCATTTCACAACCATTATCCTTGTACCGGTGAAGCCCCGGTGCTTCAAACCTGTGCTTCAAAATTTCTCTCTTTGCCACGTCAGATATAACGAGTACCTCACAGATTCATTGAAAATGGGTTTGAAGCCCCGAGGGTTCAAATTGGGGCTTCAAACCTTCATTTTTTACATTTTTAAATATACATCTTCTAAAACTAAATTAATAAAATGTAATTAATTTATTATTTAATTATATTGAAACACGAATAAAAAAATACATTCATTAAATTTAAAGAAATTGAAACGACAATAATTTAAAATTTAAAAAAATATATTCATTAAACTAAAAAAACGACAATAATAAAAAAGATACATTAATAAAAAAACTAAGGTAAATTATATTTCGCCTTGATCTCTCTTTGTCTTTGCTCGTAGATCATCCGTTTGAAACCCGATAACGTAGAAAGATCGGTTTCCATGATTTTGATCTCGTCCTCCTGCTCCTTTCGCTTCATCTCCTGCTCCTTTAGCTTCATCCTCTCTTCTTCTCGAAGATTGAACACCCGAAGTTGTTCAACCATTGCCCGACCGATTTCGTTGCGAGAAGAAACGGAAAAAGAGCCGGACCCTCCCGAACCCGAGGCAATGGATTTTGGCTTCTTTCTTCCGATCAGCCGTGGAATGGGGTCATCGTCATCGGAATCCGCAACAATGAAGGGAGACATTTGTTCGGACGAGCCGATAGTGTCGTCGACCTCAATCTCAGCGTCGACGGAGGATCTTTTCTTTGACGATCCGCCGTCGAGATTGTTGAGTTGTTGCCACTTCGAGAAACGGCTCAAAATCCTCCAAAGATCGATGGGCACCTTGCCTTGGTGCCAGTCATCTTGATACAGTGTCGTGGCAAGCCGGAGAACATCGGTCTCGTTCGTCCCGCTCCTCCGGGATCGGGCGCATTCCTCATAAACTCCGATAAACTTTTGGACTTTACGGTTGATGTGACTCCATTTGGAAGTGAGTTGGTCCCGGGTACGTAGGAGTCGTCCTTGTTCATTGCCTTGAAGAACTTCTCCTCGATACGATCCCACATCGCATCCTTCGTTTGCTCCGAACCTTTTAAAAAGTATAACACAAATTTTTTTTATGACACGATTAAATATAATTTTATATAAATAAAAACATAAATATATTAGAAAACATATAATTTTTACCAACGATAGGATGCTCGGAGACGTCAACCCAAGCCGACGCCAATAAGCACTCTTCCTCCGGGGTCCATTTTTGGATTGACCGTGCCGCGTGGGTCATCGTGTCTTTTGCTTTGTGCCTTTTCCGGCGTGTACTTTTTTTTTGGAGCCGGATGGTTCTGGTTGAGTCTCTAGAACTGAATCTCGCTCGACGTACCCCGATTGTTGCGTCTCGAACATCGGCGGATGATTCCCGTATTCTTGGAAATACCACATCGCGGACTCATGAGGCTCGAGATTGTCAGAAAAGAAGCCGGAGCCGGAAGGATTCATGTTCAAAAGAGGGGGGGAGTTTGAAATTGAAGAATGTGTGAAGAAGATTGTGTTAGACGCCTCGTCCACCTCTAGAGAGGGGGTGAATAGAGGTGTTGCCCAAAAGACCAGTTTTTTTGCGCGGAAACGTTCTTCACGAATATTCAATAAAANNNTAAAGTGAAGGATAAGAGCAATGCACACACGATATATACTGGTTCGGCCTAAATGCCTACATCCAGTCCCCGAAGCAATCGTGCCCAGGCCTTCACTAACCCGTCAAACTTAACGGAGTTTGACAATCCGAATACAACTCGAGAACTTGATTTCACAAGCCTCTTATCTTACCACCGAAGTTTTGATTTCACAAAACTCAGGATTTCTTCCACCTAACGTTTTATTTCACAAACCGTTAGGATTTCTACCACTTGATGTAATCCCAACACCAAGAATACAAATCCCTTACAATAAAGTAAGAAAACAAACCGCAACCGAGTAATTCTCCCAACACGGAGTAGATTGTTGTAAATACAATGAAGTCCTTTAGAATATGGCAATGTCTCTCAAAGACTCAAGCAATGAGGAAAAACTTAAGCAAGAAATGATTTAGCAATCAAAACAATTGCCTTGCTTGGATATTAGGAGGGGATTGAGTAGAATCTCTTTGGATATTCAAAGGATATGTTTTGAAGTGTTTTCAATGTATATTCTTGGCCAAAAACATGAGATAGGGTAGTTTATAGAAGTTAGGGAGTGGATAGGGATGAAAAGCATTCAAAAAAACTAGTCGTTTGGTAGTTGAAACTGTCGAACTATTCGACTAAGTCAAGACTTAGTCGACTAGTTTTGGTGAAACTGGAATCTGACTTATTCAACTAGTTCTGGATTTATTCAACTAAGTCAGAATAGAAGTTCAGAGATTTATTCGAATAGTTTTCAACTTATTCGAATAGTTTGCTGAAAAAAATGTGTTTTAAAAGTAGGATGATAAGGGAATGAACCTTAGAGATGCCATACTCTTTAACACATAATCTAAGACCTAAAACACTACCCAACTAAGGAAACAACCTCTTCGGTCTCATTCCTTCCACCGATGCTCAAGTCCCTTTTTCACGGAAGGATATGAACTTGTTGTAGCTTTGATTCTTAGCCTTGATGCACAATATGATGATGATGTTTTGTCACCCTTTTGTCATTATCAAAATCTAAAAGAGAATGGGCCAAGGACATTGCAAATCTATATATTCATGATAGCACATTGTCCAACAGATTGAAGGTGTGAGAATGGATGGGGGAGTTTGAAATTTATAAAAAAAATTAATTTTTCTTTTTTTTGTTTTCAACGGCTCTAATAGCCGTTAGGGGGGGAGGGGAACCACCAGCGTCATTTCTTTGACGCAGGCTCCATCGCGCCTGGGTAACGCCGCCGGGGGGCGGTGTTTAACGCCCCCGGGGCATGAAAAGCTCCATCACGCCAGTAGGTGTTAGGAGCATTTCCACTACTCTTATATGCTTAAGGTGAGGGGTGTTGTCTCAATTCATGTGATAGTCATCACTTCGTGATAGGTTTTTATCGCTTCCATTATTATTTTTTAATATTTCAATCAATCAAAATTTAACACATATTCACACATCGTCACTTTCCTTCACATCCATCATAACATACATATTTTTATCACTCCACATCATACTCTTTTACACACTGTCAAGCCCCCTCATAACACATGGTCTTAGTTCAGACGCTTTCAAACATTAAAAACATCATTTCCAAACAATGCATACATCAAATATTTAATCAATTTTACTACAAATCATATACTTGATTGCTCTTAAAATAAAATTTTATATGTTAGAATCATCAATTGATTCTGGGAATCTAAAATAAATACAACACTAATTGAACCTATTTAATTTTAAGAATAAATAAAATCCATAAAAATAATTAGAAAAACATAGTATATCAAATGCACTCTTAAGCTATGTTCTTTTGGGTTGAAAGAAACTAAAAGGAGTTGGAAAAAACTGGAAGGAGTTGAAAAAAAACAAGGAGTTAGAAAATGTTGGAAGAATTAAAACGTTAAAAAGTTATTCTATTAAATGATCACCCAAATAAATATGTTAGAAAACTTACTTTAATCTTGGATAAAAATAGAATTCATCCTTGTTATGTTTGAGGAGATATGTTATAGATTTGGATATATATAGGGGTATTCTATATCAGTGAGATATAAATCCCTTTTTAAGTCGTTATATATAGTCCTTATACCAAAAGAACATGACCTTAGTACTTGTTTTGTCATTAATTTTAACATTTATCTTTATCGTTATAAAAACTTTTATATCTAATGTCAATGTTAACTTACAAAGTAGTACAACACTCACATATAATCATACAATATCATACGAATAAGTAGTCATAGTTATACAACCACATGATAATTCAAGCTTCATTCTAATTCTCACATTAACTTACTGCACTCAACCTACAAATCTAGGGCTCAAACCGAACAGTTACAGACACTCGAGCAGATCCCTCGAGGTCGATGTTCAATAACCCAAAGAAGATCTTCAATTGGCGAGTTAGAGCCCCTACAAAGATGATCCATAGCTAGGTCCCGAACTCCCGTACGTACAATTTTAGCCAAGGCCATCGAGTATGTGAACACGCCTCACATGGCCAGATTCCTAGATCATAATGTACTGGTAATACAAACACTCACTTTAGTTCAATTCAGTTCAGATTCGCTTACATATACTCAGTGGCCTTTTCCACAATATTAGTCCATCGTACACAAATATCACCAATAAGCTTAACTAGATACATATCAGAGCTCATGCATAGTCAAACATAACAATCAACGGTCTATCGAGGGACTAGAGACCCTACGATTACCATCATACATCAATACAACAATTCAAAAGGGAACAAACTTATTCAAGCTTACCTGGCAGCCCGTCACACAGTAACAGTATATTAGTACTATCAGACAGTAGCTCTGTATCGTCGGTCGGTAGTCAACTACCGCTACCATAGGAGCTTTCACAGAAGGTTTGGGATTGTGCCGATGCCGGGCCACTAAAAGCACGACACAATGCTAGGCTACTGTTGATCGCCAGTGGCTTACAACTTTATGTGCTGGACCAAAACCGTCAACTTCAACCTTCGTAACTCTGACAAGGCTTTAGTCTTCGGGACATTCACAGAGCATACAATATAACACGATAAACACACAATGTAACGCCCTAAAATATACCCTAGAATTTTATAACAAACTTTTAATAAATCGTAATTCTAATTTTCATTAAAACTAAATAAACATCGAAACGAAAATATTAAGGTAAGATATTTTAGACTAACCTTCGTACCATGAAATTTATACCCGAATTGAAGGTCTCGACGAATCGAGTTCAATGGCATGTTGGTTGCCAAGTGTGGAATTTTGTGTAAAACGTTATAAGTAAAATAGAAGTTACAGTACAATAAATAAATTAAGGAATTTTATAATAATAATAATAATAATAATAATAATAATAATAATAATAATAATAATAATAATAACCATAATAATAACCCAAAACGTGTCCTACCATTTACCGTATATATCACCGTATATACCGTAGTTGTAATTGGAATTTTGCAAATATCACCGTATATGCATATATACGCACTGCATACCCTACGGATTCGCCGGATCCAACATCAGGCTTCATACTTTTGATCACGGACTTAGCAGCGGTAATTGGAGAGAGAGGAACAACCAGGGGCACGATCTTCTTCGATCCGTTGCCGACTTCGTCGATCGTCACCGTCGCCTTTCTTCTTTGTTCGTGCGCGCCATACGGGGGAAATAGCGAAGGTTTTGCCGGAGGTTTCTTTGCCGGATTTCCTTGTTAAGTTGATTTGTAATTCTACGCCGATTTCAAGGTGAGTGATTTATCTCTAGTTAGAAATTTAGAATTAGTTCATAGATTAGGATTCGTTGATATATCTTCGTTCAATTGACGTTGAATTTGTGATTATGATTATTGAGTTGTGTGGTTGATTGTGTCGAAATTGAATTTGGAAATTGGTATTGTGAATTGGTTTTGAGGTACGGAATTTAAATTGAGAAATAAGTCACCTCGTATATCTAGGAGACTCAGAACGGAATTGAATAGTTAGTGATATTGTGTTCACTAATAGGACTAAGGATTTGGAACTTAAGGTCATGCTGGTGTCGGCGTACATCTGATGGTCTTCAGGGTTAAAGCGTACGTACGGGAGTCCAGGACCTGCCTCGGCACCTCCGTGGTAGAGGCTCCAACCCGCCCAATTGGACACCTTCCATTGGGTTTACAAGCTTGGCCTCTTGGACACCTTTCCAAGAATGTCCATGTCTAGTAGGTTTAGTGAGACTTTAGTCGAATATGTTAAGTATGGTAACAATACACAAGGATCTGAAACGAACGGACGTACGAACGAACGATTGATTATACTATTTGATAATTGTAATTGCTTATTCTTTTGATATTGTATGATTATATGTTAATCGGTGCTAGTCTATGAGTTAGTTCTAGCGTTAGATACTTCCACTCTCCCTATTTTTACAGGTAAGGGTTAAGGATTGGATGAGGAGCAACCTGGAGGACAGTGAGACGTGACGCCGGTGGATGGCCCGAAGTTGTTTGAAATTGAATTAAATACTTGTTGACTTTTATTTTGTTTAAATTACAAGAATGTTTGACGATGTTGTTTTAAAGGCTTCCGCAACACTTGAATTATTTACTCCGATTAACGATGAATTGTTTTTCAATAAATATGTATGTTTTTTTTATTTTTAAGTGTTTTTTTTAAAAATATTATGCATGTAAATACCAAATTAGTAACAACCCAATTTGCTAACTTGTTGTTTCGGGTTACGCGAGTTGGGGTGTTACGCACAATATCATAATCCAAGTCCTAATACATGCTCATATGCAAATCAGCTCATAATTACCTTATGGCTTAACGATCATGTTTACGATTTCGAAATCAATCATAAAAAGTATGCAAATAAAGAACTAACTTATAAGCTAACCTTAACGGTAGACATATGAACCACGACTCGTCTCGATTGGTCGAACAAATCAAATCAATATAATGAATCAAACAAACCAAACTAGCGAACATGATGAATCGACAGCGGCTGGGGTACATGTAGCAGCGACCACAACGAATTGATCTCCAAACTGTGATTGTCTTCTTCCTCATGGTGAGAGCACTGACATTACATATGTGCATTAGCCTCGCCTCCACGATAATAGTACTTCATAAGTTTTCCCCTATCTTCAACACTCCGTAATATGATATTTATAGACATGAGGGTTCTAGGTTTCGTGCGTACAATTACTATCCACGTTATTATGTGAACTATTGTCGTGACAGGTGTAATAATTTTCACTTTAGGATCACAAGACATTTCTCTTAGCATCTTTTATCTCAAGTCCCGCATGCGACCAAGTCATAATGAGATCTAGGTCTTCCTTAATCTCATAGGCATCTTTTATTTATAGTTTCTATCTACCTTGTCACAATGAGATGTGGGTCGATCTTTCTTGATCTCATTGACATCTTTTATCTCATGTACCATTCATGATCGAGTCATGATGAATTTTGAGACTTCTCGGTCTTACCTAAGACCGGGTCATATTGAGATAAATGTCTTCTTGACGTGATTTCTTTTCTTTATAGTTTACTTGGGTCAAGCACTGTTAGGGTTTGTTCTATTCACCTAATTTGATTGATTCTAATCTGATCAGATTTGTTCTGGTGTGATCTAAATGTAATTATATTTAAAATGATTTCTAATAAAATGAGATCTGATCTGTACTGATTTCAATAAGAATAAACAATAAGTACCCCCACCGTCCCACTTTAAATCTCCTATTTCAGTTTACGATGTTTGATGAAGTGTTTTTGGTGCAATTTGTTATAGAATTGTAACTGAATTAAAAAATAATATTGACACAATAGGAAATTACATCAAAAGCTCTATGAAACAAGACGTGACATGATGATATTATTTTATTAAATGAATAACAAAAATAAAGAAAGTAAATGTATTTTGACCATGTCAATAATTAACAAACAACTAAATTTAGGACGAAGGGAGTAATAAGAATAAATTGAAGAAAAACAAGCTCTTAGGTTCTCTTCTTTTGGGTTGAAAAAAATTAATTTCTAACTTTTTCTAGCTTATTCCAGTTTCTTACGATTTCTTCTAGTTGTCTCCAACTAGTTTCAGTCTCTTCTAATTCAACAACTTTAGAAAGGTATTTATATACGATGAATATACAATAATATTATATATAACTAAATTTATAACATACTACCTCAAATACGAATGAAGATGCATTTTTATCTAAAACTAGATTTTTTTCTTATATATTTATTTGAATGATCGTTTAATCGAGTAAATTTTTTAACATTTTAATGATTTCAAACATGTTCCAACTTTTCATAGTTTTTTTTCAACTTTCCTAGTTTTCTTAGTTTCTTTAATTCCTTCCATTTTTTTCAATATCCAATTCTGAAATTCCAACAAAAAAGAACATGACCTTATTGCTCGACTTTTAATGTCATTGTCTAATGCCAAAAAATCCTTCCCCATAGATGGAAGCAAGATAGCCTCAAAAAAATCTAAGCAAATGATGTGGTTTGAATTAGGAAAAATTATTCAAAATAATTCCTACTTTACTCCGTCTTTCAAAAATAATCCTACTTTTCACTGTAATCAATGGAGATTTAAAAATAGAAATGATGGAGATAGAAAGCAATTCTAAAAATTTAAATCAAAATTTCTAAAAAAATTAAAAAACAAAAAAATAATTCCAACTTTCATTTTGTTATGCAAAACAGGCCGTTTCCGTTAACTTGCAGTTAGTGATCTAAGTACAATCCGAAATTTGCAAATTTCAAAGATCATTATGCATTTGAAAAGTGAAATTATTTTTGAAGAGTTAGAATTATTTTCAGTTTTTTTCTTTGAATTATACAAATATCTCGGAGTCACATTTTCTCTTCCATAGTGATCTGCTCGGAACGAATTGGCTTATCGGTTTTTACTGTCTGGCAATTGGCCGTTTCAGAAACTTCTTCTTCGTCGTCCTCACCCCTAATTTCAGGTCGTCGTGTCTCCGTTTCCGATCTCTTCTTTCTGGTAAGCGTTTCATACACGATTTTCTAATGGATTTTCATACAACGATTTGTCGCTGTAGGCTTTCGATCGTCATTGAGTAGATCGGTTCCGTTTTGTTTGATGTTTTTTTTGTGTGTGTGCGCGCGAAGGTGGTGGAAGAGAAAAGAGTGCGAAGAAAGAGATTTTTCTGAGTAATAGATTGTGATGGCGAAGAGAGTGGATCACGAATATGATTACCTGTTTAAGATCGTCTTGATCGGAGACTCTGGAGTCGGGAAATCCAACATCCTGTCCAGGTTTACCCGAAATGAGTTCTGCTTAGAGTCCAAATCTACAATCGGAGTTGAGTTCGCCACTCGAACTCTTCAGGTTCATTTCTCTATCTCTATTTCTTCTGTTGTGTAGATTAGTTTTATATGTGCTTCCGTAGATTCCTTTTGATTTTTTTGATCAGAAGTGAAATAGGATTTGTTAAACAATTTGTATGTTTGTGTTTGTCGCTGCTGATCCTGCTAGTAATATCAATTTTAATGGTTTGAACAGTATGTAGTATGTATGCTAGATCTATGGAATGTTACTATTTGGTATAATTTTCTCTGTATCTAGTGAATTCATAGATGAATGGCAAATGTTCTAATAATGAATATTGTGCTTGTGTGAATTTCTTTCTAAGACTGTGTGTACTGGGCGCGAGAGGGGCTGATGTGGCCGGAGATAGCGCCCCGCACACTACCCCCGGGGAGCCATCGGGATTCCCCTCATTCTCCGCTGCTATTTTGAAAACGCCCTCTCTTCTCTATCTCCTCTGTTCTGGGCCCCATGGCTACGCTTGGGTCTCTCTCCTTTTGTAGGGCCCCATCGGTGTGGAGGTGGCCAAACATAACGCCTTCTGCCATTTGTGCTACACATGGTCTAATGGGCATGATGATGCTCATGTCCTTTAGCAATTTGTAGAATTTTTTTTCCATTTGTGGTGTGTAAGAGTAAGAGTATTTTTAGGTGACCCGGTTGTCCTAAAATCCTTTTTTTTACCCCAGAAGTTTAGTCTAGTGAACTGGTCTATTAGTACTTCTTAGGGCACATTGCATATCCAATAATCCAATTACTCATCCATCATGGCTGTCATCATTTTTATGTTCAGTAGGTATATAATACATATTGTAATCGATGTACCTTCAACATCAGTTTTAAAAAGGAAAATAAGTATCCACAAATTCAAATAGACATTCTTTAGAAGGAGAGTGAGCTGAACAAAAAAAACTCGAACACAAAATGACAAAAGGAAATGAGCATTCATTAGAGTAGAGGAAGAATGAGCAATCATCAAGAAATTACAAAATGCCACCGGATGTATATACATCCATATGAATGATATTATTTGAATTTTGTGTTAGGATGTCGATGAAATATTAGTGTATTGGAGTATTTCTCATTGATAATTTTGTATTTTCGATGATGTTATAATTGTTATTTACTTATTTACTAGTTACTGCACAGAAGAACTTGGGATGCTTATTTTTTGAACCACTTTGATATTTGAAAACTATTATTCTGTCTTACGCTGAGAATAGCATTTCATTACATGCTTAAAAGAGAATTCAAGGTAAAATAAAACCTGTGTAACTCACTTATAACTGTTATTAGTTTCCAGGTTTTGTGAATTTCTCTTATCAACCGTTCAAATAGTGTTTTCTGGATGCATGTTTTAAGAAGAAAAAAATTCAAATGTGGGACAATTGGGCGTTATTGGTTGAGTTCATTTATAAATTATAACATCAATGATATCTTCTTTGTTGGAGGTCTGGAACTATTGGTTCACTAAGAAACACCAAGAATACACTCAGTACTCTGAAAATGTTAAAGAAAGAAACTAGGTAAGTTTAGGAGTAATCTTGAAGGAAAGAAAATGTGGCTGAAATAGAACAGTGGTTCAGACTCAAACATAAAAAATGAGATTCCTTAGCAAACTTAATAAAAAATAACATTCATTAGCAAATTTAATGTTTCATCAAACTCTGTTTATTTGTCTTTAACTCTGCATTATGCAAATTGCAAAGACTAGAAGAACTTTGAACGTATGCAAACATTGTTAATAATATTGATCATATTTCTTTTTGCTTTTCATTTTTTCAGTATTGAAACCAAACACACGAAAACAACCTTCTTTTGCAAGTTTACCTACTTTGTCTTTTACAGGTGGAGGGAAAGACTGTGAAAGCCCAAATTTGGGACACTGCGGGGCAGGAAAGGTACAGAGCAATTACAAGTGCTTACTACCGAGGAGCCGTAGGGGCACTCCTTGTGTATGACATAACAAAGAGGCAAACCTTTGAAAACGTCCAAAGGTGGCTCCGAGAACTAAGAGACCACGCCGACTCCAACATTGTGATCATGATGGCGGGCAACAAGTCTGACCTTAACCACCTTCGGGCAGTGTCGGAGCAGGACGGTCAAGCCTTTGCCGAAAGGGAAGGGTTGTCTTTTCTGGAGACATCGGCATTGGAAGCGCATAACGTGGAAAACGCTTTTCAGAGTGTTTTGACAGAAATTTATCAAATAGTGAGCAAGAAGGCATTGGCTGCACAGGAAGCTGCATCGAATACTACTTTCCCCGGTAAAGGTACCACCATCAATGTCGGCGATTCTTCGGCCAATGCAAAAGGTGGCTGTTGCTCTACTACCTGAGCTTCGTTCCAGACGAGAAAGAGACGTGACCAGTAACATCGGGACAAAACCTGTTCTTTGCTCTCTTCTTCTTTTTTCAGAATGTAAGATTACTTTCTTTATTGGTACAAGAAAGTGAGCTTATGAATGTTAAAATTGTTTATTACCTTTGGTGAATACACTTTTTTTTCTTCCTTTTTATTTTATAAAATTTTTTATTCTTTTTTTTTGTGGTCCTGGGTGGGTCAGAAAATTTACCAACAATTGGCCTTCTTTATTTTTTTTATTTCTTTTTTGAAGAACAAATGTACTCTGTTATACTGTATAACTTATATTGCTGTGCTGATATTTTTTTAAAATCCTTTCACTTTATACTTTTATGGGCCTGTAATTAATTGTTCATTTGTACTTCAGTAAACAAATTTAGGAACTTGACATCATTGGCAAATTTAATTTGAAAACTCAGCTCTTTAAACATGGGATGTGTTAGAAAGTAAACTATCAATGTCATGTTTTATTCATTTTTAATTTCTATTATTTACACTTTAGTGTCCAAATTTCAGGCTTTAGTCTCCAGACTCTAAACTTTAATTGAAAGTATTACTTCATCTGGATTTTGGACTCCTATCTCCAAACTTCAGTTGTCAAACTTCAATTTTAAGACAACAAACTTCATATTTTAATTTCCGATTATCAAGTTTACAAAATGACTTTCAATTTCTGAAAATATTATCATATGGAGTAATATCAAATGACTTTCAATTTCTGACAATTATCATATGGAGTACCCCTACATTCTCTCATTTCTTCATTCATCTCAATAAAATTTACACATCACCTATTTCTTACTCCGCATTGAAGATAAAAATTAGTGGCCCACCCTCTTTCATTTAAACGATTTCAATCATACGATTTTTACTTTTCAAAAAGTTTCTTTCTTAAACTATATGAAAGTCAAATTAGATAATTTTTACTTAATGGTGTATTACAATATATGACATAGGTGAAATATTTAATTAGAACTAAAACATGCTACATATACAGTTTGGTTTTGATTAGAAACCGGTAAGCCATCTTTGAACCAAGTCATGGCACCAGGTCTCGGCCTAGCCAAAATGATGGCCCGATCTTTACTTTTATTGTTTGGGCTGGCCTGAACCGTAAATTGTGGGCGCCTATAGTAATGTGGGCCAGGTACGAACGTAGTTCGTAAAATTCACGAGTGGTCTCACGTCTATTACTAAGAGACTGTTTGGGATTACTTTTTTTTTATTAAGAAAAAGTGATATTTTAATAACATAATCTAAAAGTATATCAAAGCAATTTCTCAACTTGTGATTTTCTGTATCTAAAACAGTTGAAAATAATACCGTTGCTACCCCAAAAGGATTCTATTCAAAGAAGAAATCAGAAAAATCTTTTTTAGAAGCACTGACAATCACTCTCTAACACCTAATGTGAATACTGTTTTAAGAAACTTTTTTGAACTAGTCGTTCAACCTCTTGACTCACTGATTCAACTAATGAGCATGTGAATCACTACTTTGGCTGGTTCAGTTACTGATTTATTCATGAAAGGCTCCATGTATCAATGTAGGACTTTAAATATTTTTACACCAAAATAAAATTTATCTTACCGAATAGTGCTAAAACATACTCCGTAATGTGAACATAAAATACCCAACTGTGAGCCCAAAAACTTGCTAGAAGTTTATATGGGCCTGTAAGCCTTTCCAGGCCATTGGTCCCTTCCCATTTAGCGCCCTTCTTTCTGCTTCTCATCAAACCGCAAAAGCACTTTGTTCTGTAAAGCGATTCAGACCCTAAGCGGGGGAGAAGAAGATGTTCTTCCACATAGTCTTGGAGCGAAATATGCAGCTCCACCCGCGCCACTTCGGCCGGGATCTCCGGGATAAGCTCGTCGCCAAGCTCATGAGAGACGTCGAGGGCACTTGCAGGTTCGCTTGCAACCATATTTCTTCCCATCGCTTAGAATCGCGATTTGCCTTTTTCGATTTTTATGCGAAATCCCTAAAAATGTTCGCATTTTTTTCTCACAGCGGGAGGCACGGTTTCATCGTTGCGATCACAGGCATTGAGAGCGTCGGCAAAGGTCTTATTCGGGACGGCACAGGGTTTGTCTCCTTCCCGGTGAAGTATCAGTGTGTTGTGTTCCGGCCTTTTAAAGGGGAGATTCTTGAAGCTGTTGTTACTATGGTTAACAAGGTTGGATTTGATTCTTTTTCTTTTTGATTTGGTTGTGTGATTGACATGTTTGGGTCTGTGTAATTTTAGGACAAGTTAACACTGTAATGTTTTTGCATTTGTTCTTGATTGCTGCAGATGGGATTCTTTGCAGAAGCTGGTCCTGTGCAGATTTTTGTCTCCAATCATGTGAGTTTTCTGGTGTTCTTTTGGATTATAATGATATTGCATAGAAGAAATGTTTTTCGTACTGATATCAGCTACTTGTTTCCTGGAAAAGTGGATATTTGTAGTTGTTTAGTGGTTTTTTTTCATCTTTTACTCCTTATTGTGGTCTGCTACTCGTAGTGTTTGTTCTTGAATCCAGACTACAAAAAATGAGTAAGAAACAAGATCTTAGATACGAAAGAACCTTGACTCAAGAAAACATTAATGCATGTTACGGAGTACAATACTTGAATACTAACAAATGAACAATTAGGGGAAAACAATTACGGAGTACAGAAATGAAGATCAAATTACAAATAACAACACAAATAACCCATGTTAGATTCCGCTACAACTTTGACCTTTGACATCCAAACTTCCTATCTAGGGCCGCAATCTTGGTGAGCTACGAAAGCATGTATAGTCCAATCGTGTCGCACTAAAACCTCTTTGGTGTACCCTTACTTGAGTTACACTTACCTCTACTCAAACCCCACACTGGTAACCTCTCTCATACCCTCACAGGGTGTATAATTGTTTTCTCTTTGAAGTTTGAATTAACTCAATTCACACTTACACTCCACAGAAGTGACTCCCACATTGTCTTGTATATACTAGCTTTTAACCTTTTCTCTCCTAGCATCAGTAGCATGATATATTTATCATTTGGTATTTTACTTCTCCTGGCAGGAGGAACACTTATGGGAATCGGTTTCCCTTAGATTTTTCTAGGAGTTTTTTTACTTAAATATTCACTTCCCCAGGTATACTCATCATGATTGTGTAGATCTTTTTATAGTTAGTCAGATCAAATGATGAAAACTTCATGTAGCACTTACTGAGTTACAGTAGCATAATTATTTGTCTTTATCAAGTCTTCTGCTTCTTTCTCTCTTCATTTTCTATTATAGACCTGTGGTTTTGCCACATTTTTGGAAAATCAAATGAAATGGAATTTTGGTGTTATGTATCGCTAACTTAGTTTGTCTTCTTTTTTATAGTTAATTCCTGATGACATGGAGTTTCAATCTGGAGATGTGCCGAATTACACAACATCAGATGCATCAGTATGCATTTTTCACATATCCTCAATGAGAGTTTGAAAAAGTTTATTGTTACTTTTTTCTTATCATCTTCAAGTTCAAAGTATAGGTGTTTGATATGTCATCCTTTTAGGTTAAGATCCAGAAGGAGAGCGAAGTCCGGTTGAAGATTATTGGAACTCGAGTTGATGCTACAGAAATTGTATGCTATCAATCCTTCTTGTGTGTGTGTGTGTAAACTAATTCAGCTGGAGCTTTTAGTTTGATTCACAATTTAATCTCTTTTCCTTCTTCCCTCACCCCCCCCCCCCTCAAAAAAAGATCAGTTTGGATCATTGGATGTATGCCCTTCGAAGACTACTTCTATACTATTATACTCCATATTTGAGATTATATAATACGGAGTAGTTGAAGGAATAACATAATGGGCGCTTACATATCATTCTCCAAAGTCTTTCTCGTCCAAAACCATCCATCCAAACTTTCCCTTAGTCTACATTATCATCAAACTATTCACACTTTGACAATCAAATTGGTTTTCCATTTAAAATTCACACAATACTGATTTTCCCTTACTCCATCATAGATGGGCACACTATTGTTCTCATACAAACACATAAAAAGAGAAAACGACACAGAGTAACTTTAATGTCATCATATTCTTTTGTTTGTGTGTTTCTACTTCTATTCCTACCTTATCTCCTGCAATTCATGCTGTTCTTATTCTTTCTCCAATTCCAAAATTTCAGTTTTGTATTGGCACAATAAAGGATGATTTCCTGGGTGTCATCAGTGATCCTACCGCAGCTGCTTGACTTCCTACTTAACCTGGAGAAACCAAAGGGGTTTTGTTGCACTCAAGAGTCAAGACATCTCTGTATGGAGCTGCTTTTTGTACTATAATCTGTTCTTTGGTAATACTAACGTTGGGCTTTGCCACACTATATGTCTGGTTGCGTGTCCGTCTTATGTGTGGGATTTACCAGATTTTAGAGTTTAGTTAAAACTAGAATGGGATTCGTATTCGGAGTTTTCGGACTCGAGATTCTTGTTAAACTTAAAATGTAAAGAACAAGCGTCAATTGACATCGTTTATTGGGTCGTCAAAAAAAAAGAAGCTTAAGTTGTTGCACCATTACAAATGTTTAGCATCTGGGAATTTTGCATATGCATTTGTTTATACATTGCACTTACACTAGACCTACAATACAAAAGAAATGAGCTTCAAAAGCATTTTTTTCCTTCTAGTTTATTTATTGTGTACGAGTTGAGTTGTCTCAAAGTAAATGAAGGTTAATTTTTTTCTTGTCTTGATCAATCTGAACGCTTAGTTGGAACCCCTTGGACTTAAGAAACTTCACATTAATTAAAGAGTTGGAAAACTTAGGTGTATAAAAACAGCAAGGTTGAAGAAGCTATAGATTGTTTTATGTTTGATTCGGTAGAATGACATGTCAAATTCACATTTTCTTGTTGATAGAGAGTATTGTTTTTACTGATATGATGAATTAAGTTCTCTTTGTAACAAAAAAAGGTAATGTTATAATGACAATAACATTTAACGTCATAATATGACATGAGAATTCTACAAGTATTTCGTTGGTAAAACTGATGATTTATATTTCCAAACCATCCAAAAATTTTGTAGCCCTCCTTTCCAAATCGTCAATTGGTAACAAATTACTACTTTCGTCTCAAAATATTAGTCTAGTTTTGATTTTTTGCAGACAAAATTGATAAATTTTGATCATTAATGGAATATAACTTTTACGAGGTATTAGATATTGGTACAGGAATAATTCGTTAGATTTATCTTGTAAAATATTTTCAAAATATTATTTTATCCAATTAATATACTATGTACGAGTAATTTTTATTTAATTGTAGGTCAAAAGGTGATACTGATTGACTGCAAATCTGCAATAGAGGAGAGACAATTAATTGAAAATAAATTATCCCATATAGGAGCATAACATAGTATTTATTTTCAAAATATGTGTTCGTAGTTTTATTCCAAAATAAGAGTTTGCATTGACACGGTACAATGGTATTCTAGTACTTCCTTCGTCCTAAAACTTTCTTCCCAGAGCACTATTCCAACTTCACGGGAATTTATATTTATTTGTGTTTTTTCATGGCCTATATGATAAAATAAAATATTCTTATCACCACTTGTTTTGTTGAACTTTTGATGTAGTTTTTAAATATGTATGTTTTATTTTTTATTTCTATACCAATATTTAAATAAAATATATTGAAAAAACTTGGGATTTTTCTTCGTTTTGCGCAACGGGAAGAAAGTTTTAAGACGGAGGGAGTATATTTTTTGGTATTAACATTGAACTCCTTTTTTAGAAATAAAAAATATTGAGCTCTTATTTTAATACTTTATCTGTGTTTTACTCCTAATTTAGTCTTTTTCTCATTTACTTTTAAATTGTTACAAAACATTCTTCTCGATCCATTTTAAGATCAACATTTACTTGCATAATTGAAAACCTTTTTGGTACTAAAGAAATTATCTTAAGTAAGAGTAAAACATATATAGTCGTGTTAACCCTCAAAATAAGTATGTCATGTTTTTATTCTTAACATAGAAGTTTGCACTATGATATTATGAGATTGTATGGCTGCATCCCACTTATTTTTTTTGGTTAAATTGGAATTATTAGCATTATATTCATCTTTTAAAGATAAGACAAATGAAACTTAAGGGATGTCCCTCTGTGCTGGTGTTTATTGACTTATTGCTAATAATCAATTTTTAACTTATAAGCTGCTTATAATTCAAATATTATTTCGTGTAGGTAAAATGACAGATAACTCATTTGTAAATATTCATAAATGACGAGGGACAGTTTTCTAAATAATCTGGTCAAAACGGAGAAACTAAAAAATTGAGTTAAAAATAAATAGCTAAAATCCTAAAACCTATCTATTTTTTCTGACTTATAAACATCGTAATGTCTATAAAGATACACAAACATATACTTTAAAAAACTACTTACGGGCAATTTTGACATATTTATAAACATTTCTTGTACTTCACTTTGGTTTAGTCTTTTTTATCTTAATTACATCCAACCAGCTAGACCTATTTTTTTTACGTCTCCTTCGCCACTCCGCCCCCCGGCCCCCCCTCTCTCTCCTCTTTGTCCCTCCTTCCTCCGCCAACGCCTATCTCCAAGACGTAAGCTTCATTCTGATCTGCTCTTGTATGACTTCTCCTCCGATCATAGATTCGGTACTTAAATAGTAATTCTGATTCGTTAATTTAGATTTAAGTGCTTTATATGTGCGGCATGTTCAGGGTATGGTAGTTTCTGTTTTTTCCATCAAAATTGCTTCGAAATCCTTTTTTTTTAAATCAAGTGTTCAGATCTTATGTAGTTAGACATAACTTTTGAATTTCGAATTTGCTAAGAAAGTAAATATCTTGGCTTTGTGGGTATTTAGTATCCGAATGGTGATGTCTTTGGTAGTTTACAAATGATAAAAAGTTCAAACACAATTTCTAGATTTTTAAAATGTTCAGGGTGGTTTATTTAGTTCAAAGGTTTGCTTTCAAAAATAAAATTCAGGGTGATTAGTCAATATTTATGTATCTCTAAGAGTATGAATTACTTATTGAAGCAGTATTGTTGTTCTTCGTATCATTTTTAGAAAATTTAAACTAAAAGAGTTATTAATTAACTGGGTTAGCGATTTTACCATTCTCCGAAACGTATGCATTTTAAGAAGTTTAAATCTCATAAGTATTTTGTATTTGAAATAGAAATTCACACATAAAATTTCATATGCTTTTTCATTTGATTGTTACTCCGTATAATTTATGGACTAATGAATTCCGGGCAAAAAGCAAAAGGAATGATGGGATCCTTTAGTCCAATTTTTGGACTAATTTTTACTCTTGTTTTTTAAAAACAGTTCCACCTTCACTTTTTGTGCCCAACGAAATGCTTTTACCCCACTTAAAATGTCTAAATTACTCCCAAAATATAGAGAGAGCACAAACTAGATATCATTATGGCTTTAGTAAGTCTTTCGCAATATAAATTTTTATCATTGTCTTTTTTTTTTTGAAAAATTGCAATGAGATTAATTACTATTCAAATACCAATTGAGTATATCTTGAAAAGTGAAATATACAATGTTTTCATAAAGTGAAATATATTAGATTTATCTTGTAAAATATTTTCATAAAGTTTTTTTTATTAATATACAATGCAATATTTATTTAATTGATGCCCAAAATTTGTTCATATTGACCTCAAAAAGTTAAACTGGACAAACACACTAGGACAGGAAGAGTATATATATATGTGTATGTAATCTATGTATAGAGAGAGGGAGAGACTAGTTAAATTTATTTCCTGTTGTTTTCCTCTAAATACCAAAATGATTGTCACAGATGATGGATTCAGCTACTCTGGCTCAGAACACCCTACTCGATTCCAAGACCGATTCTCAGAGAACTCTGTACGTATGCACAATCCCTCTCTTTGATGTACACATGTACTTGTAGGCTGTAGCAATGTGCTTGTGTTCGCTTCTATCTCCATACAGATATCTTTTAGGATCTATGGTTGAATAGGAATGCAGGAATTGTACTACGTATTTTGAATGGATCATTATGGTATTTAGAAGCACATCAGATTCATACTCATTGTTAATTTATCAAGGTTATGAATACCATCTCTTGCTGCTGGGATACTGCCGGTATGTGTTGTTTTGGTTGGTTTCCAATATAGGTGCAGGTCTAAAAATGTACTGCTTTAATTCTGAAAATGTAGCTTGGGTCAGCTACATAAAGTAAGAGAAACAATCATGTATGATTGTCCAAGAAAGTAGCCTTTCTCTCTATCTCTTGTGACATTCATATCTAGGTCCAACAAAATCGAATGACTTCGAATAGGTGACTTGATTATTTCGGGCCAATACTGGTTAGGTCTCTCTCTTCGTCTTACAATGTCATCATTCCCCCCAGGCCCCATCTTTTGTCTCTTGTAATCTTGTGAGGTGCATCATTTTGTCTTCTTTGTACATGTCCAAACCATATCATTGGTTTCTTTCTCATTTTATCTTCAGTCGGTGTTACTTTTGCATTCTTTTGAATTACTTCATTTCATATTTTATCTGCACACTCATCTTAACATACGAATCTCTGCCAGACTGCTACACTCATATTCATAGTAATAGGATACTTTTTTGGCAGCCAATACTCTGTTCCATAGAAGTATAGAACATAGCAGGTTGAATTACCACTCTATAAAATTTTCCCTTCAGTCTCAAAGGTATGTTGCAATTAAACATGGCATTGGTTGCACTTTTACATCGTAATGATCCCCTTCACCTGATGAGTTATATCACTCTCCAATCTCCAGTTTTTCTGGCATTCCGGGACTGGTAAAATTTAGAAGTTTGTTCTTTTATAAAGAAAAATATTTTTGTCTAAATTTGCAATTAAGAAACGTAAGAACTTAAAAAGGTAACCATTAGGAAGTTTCTGTTTTTAATATAATTTTTTAGTAGCTTAAATTGTTAAACATTGGCTTTGCAAAGTTCAGAAATGGTTTTACTTGGCAAATCAAGGTGCAAGGTGATTTTTGAAGGAATTATTCTGTTTGGGAACTAGGCGTATTAGTTAGTATAGCATATTATTTGAAGGAATTGCCTATTGCAAGTTAGGCCAACACCTGAGTTAGAGCTTGATTGGATTGCTGATATATCTTTTATACTCCCTCCGTCCACAAATTATCTTCACATTCACTATTCACCTCTAGTTTTGTAGATCTTTTGATGTTGTTTTTAAATATGTAATCTTTATTTTTTAATTCCACACCATTTTTCATATAAATTGATTTGAAAATAACTTGAGTCAAACATCGTAACGCGCAACGGGAAGATAATTATTGGACAGAGGGAGTATTTGCAAAACATGCTTATTCATCACAATATGCTACGCTATATAAGATAATACTCGGTACTGTGTTCATAAATATTATTAGTCTCATTAGCCTTTTTCTAAATTAATTGTGCTTCACCCTCTCTGAAGTTGCACGATTTAAAGTATATGATGTTTTTTTGTACAGAGACCCCTATGTGACTGGCACTTCCGTGGTTGGAATTAAATACAAGGATGGTGTACTGCTGGCTGCTGATATGGGAGGTAATAAAGTTTTCAAACCAATAATATTTGTTTCATATATCCATATCAGTTGTTATGAGCATAGAATAAGGCCACATCTAGCGATAATTTTGATGTTACTAGTAAGAATAGATTTTTTTATTGGTGTATTTCTACAACTCGATTGGTAGTTCTGCATGCTGTCTTTACGCAATTTCAATTATTTTATTTGGGTTGTAGTGTAGGATTATAGAACGATATAATCTATTGTCTACAGAACACAAATAATAGAAGTATAGAATTATGTTTTCCTGTGTTTCAAGCCAATGATGAAATATGTTCCTTTTCACCCACTGTCATTTATACTCTCTATCCCAATTCAAAATGCATTGTTACTATTTCAGCCTTTCAATAACTTTTTTTATTTATGTGTTTTTATTGATTATTTGGTAATGTAAAATAGTCATGTCACCTCTTGTTTTGTAGAATTTTTGACGTAGTTTATTAAATATGTAAGTTTCATTTTTTATATAAATTCTACTCCCTCCGTCCCCCATAGATCTTCTCATAAGCCCTTTTTATTTGTCCACCATAGATCTTCTCATTACCTTTTTTTACACTTAAAATACCACAATTACCCTCACTTACTTTATTTATTACATCTCACCTACCTCATTTAATACACTCCACCCATTTTCATTAAGGGTATTATGGTAAACTTTCACCTTTTTTCAACTCTCCTAAAAAACCGCAAAAAGTCAAAACGAGAAGATCTTAGGGGGACGGAGGGAGTAATTTTTAAATAAAATGATTGCAAAAAGTGTGGGGTCTTTCCTCGTAATCCAAAGTGTGCATTTTGGGGATTTTGGCTTGGGACAAAGGGAGCATATATTACTCCCTCCGTGACATCTAACATCTATGTAGAAGGCTTATGGTAGTATTTTTTTTGTATAAAGGGTCCTATGGGTCCACGTTGCGTTACAAGAGTGTGGAGCGATTGAAGCCTGTTGGGAAACACTCTATTGTTGGTGGAAGCGGTGAGATTAGCGATTTCCAAGAGATCATGCGCTACCTTGATGAGCTTATGTAAGTGTTTGCAATTATATTGTTGTTAATGTTGGTAAATTTCTTTGTAACTGAATTCTGTTTTCTACTACATGGGTCCCCTCCACAGCATATATGACAATATGTGGGACGACGGAAACTCATTTGGTCCCAAGGAAGTTCACAATTATCTTACCCGTGTTATGTATAACCGGCGCAATAAATTTGATCCTCTTTGGAATTCCCTTGTCCTAGGAGGTGTGAAGAAGGGGCAGAAGTATCTTGGAACGGTAAAACACACACACACACAACATTCTCCGCTTATGCATTTAATATTAAGAAGAAATTTTACTTTGTTGTACACTGCTAATAGGTAAATATGATTGGTGTGCACTATGAGGACGACCATGTGGCTACTGGATTTGGGAATCACCTTGCTCGACCCATTCTGCGTGAAGAATGGAATGAGAACATGAGTTTTGAAGAAGGTGTCAAGTTGTTGGAGAAGTGCATGCGTGTGCTTCTCTACCGTGATAGGTCTGCCGTGAACAAGATTCAGGTACAATCCGTTTAACCAGGATCTGTTTGGAACCCGTGAATCGCCTAAAGGGAACTAGTTGTGACATTTGGAAAAGTAAAAAAAAAGTTTAGAAAAATAAAAAAAAGACTGCTTCAATACCTAAAAATTAACTTGTAACTTCTAGACATCTGTTTAAACCCCATTTTATCATTTGTTTCTCTTCATGTGTCTTAGAAATGCAGTTGCCCGGTGGTATTCAATTGTCAGATTTGTACCGAACACTATTTTTCTCCTTCAAATTAAGCATAGAATGGTAAGTAAGATATCGATTTTGACACTATTGCAGATTGTGAAACTCACGGAGGAGGGTGCGACATCATATCCACCGTACTCATTAAAGACGTACTGGGGTTTCTCGGCTTTCGAGAACCCAACATCTGGTGCCGAAGGCTCTTGGTAGTGAGACGACATATGGCTCCCAGGACGCACAAATAAATTGAACTTGGTTTTATCTTTCTTGTTTTGCTGTGTTTTGAAAGGAGTGAATGCATATTGTGGGTTGTGACTTAATTATCTCCCCCTCACCCAAATTTGCTAAATCCAATTATTAAAAGAATAGTACTCCCTCTGGAGTGACTTAAATCTACTCCCTTTCTTCGGAATTAATTGTCCACTTTTTACGAAATGAGTTTAAAATGTCAACTAAGGCCCTGTTTGGTACACAAAATTCAAACTATAGAATTGGAATTGAGGACTTCAATTCCACATTTGGTGTTGGGTAGCACAAAAATTATGTGGATTCGGAATTGGTAGTGCAAAAAATGAATTTGATTTGATGAATTCAATTCTATGGAATTGAATCCCATTGAATTTCAATTCCAATTCTATCAATTCCGTATATCAAACAGACTCTAAGTCTTTCAAGTGATTTAGTCGCTCATTTATATCAGGGGGTGGCAAAATTGCGTGGCAAAATTGTGCTTCGTGAAATGTCAATTGTCAAATAGATGATATAGATCATGTGAAAAAAGAGAGATTTTCTGATGCTCTATCAAAGTTTTTCTGAAGCTCAGTTGTCCCAATGATTAAAATTATTATTTTGAGATGTGAAATGACATTAATGTCCTTCCAACTAGACCTGATCAATGTGCAAATTGGGTTAGGTCGTGACGCTATATTATGATAAGTTTAGAGCTTGAGTCCGGCTTAGTATAGCGGGCCTTATAGTTGAAGCCCAAGTTCGATCCGCATAAACACTTGCTGACTCTTGATTGGGTCAGCCCGTATAGCTATTAATTTTTACATAATCACAAATGTTTTTTTTACAATAGAAAAACTTCATTCAGATGAAATTAACTGAGCAATACAATCTGGGTGGCTTAAAGTTCCAAGAGCTCAAATGTAAAGCAGCGCATTGAACCAAGGTATGAGCCACACCATTTAGCTTTGTACATGTAAAATGAAAAGAAACTTCTAAAAAAATTGCTCAATCAAAAACATTCATAAAAAATGTAGTCAAGATAAGACAAACAAAAAAAATTTCTTCCATAAAATACCATTGCATAAGCATTCTTAGGCATTTGCATAAAGTGACATGATCTATTGTGGAAGTTCGCGTGCGGGGTGCTCCAACTTCTTGAGCATTCTGTGATGATAGATTATTTTTACTACACTTTATTTTACACTTTAATTGTCTTAATTGCCACTACACTTGAGTTTAGATTTATTTCCTGCATAACTGTTGTTGCCCCTTAGAAGTTGGAGAAACTACCATGGAAACATATAAGAAGAAAAAGGAAAAAGTTGAAGAAAGAAAAGAGAGGAAATGAAGAAGAAGCAAAAAAGGAGAAGGATTATGATTTCTGCTATTTTTTAAATTTGAGATGCATAGTTGCTTGAATGCATTGAAAGAATGCTCATCACTCTGACATGTTCATTTTCTAATTTATATAGTATAATTTTCATTAAAAATATATTTTATAATTATTATAATGTTTAAAGTCGATTTTTCATTTTATTCTATTTTTGAAAGTTTTTGTTGCAAAGTAAAATTAAAAAATCATTATAGCTTGTGCATCGGCACATCTTTAGTACTCCCTCCACCCCCAATTTGATTACAAATTGCCGTTTACGAGGAGAAATATTTCACTTTTTAAAATCATTTTATTTACAAATCGGTATATCGATAAAAAATAAAAATTTCATATTAAAAAACCGCGTCAAAAGTTTTACAAAATAAGAGGTAGCAAGAATATTTTATTTTATCAAATACTTAATGAAATCGCGTAAACAAGCAAAAGTTATCGAAAATAGAGAAAAAAAAATTATAATCAAATTGGGAACGGAGAAACTATGATACAAGTATGAGTAATTGTTTTTCCCGGGGCACTGAATTAATGAGTTGTCAAACTGGACCCGGAACAGGAAGAGACCCGAACCGGATCACTATCACCGCTCTCTCTAGTTTTCGCCAAAGTTTGTCAAAACAGAGCCGAAATGTCGGGTGTATCAGATCGCGCCACGTGGGCGTCACGCTTATAAACGGATGCAAACCTATTTATATTCCATTCTGTATACCCCCTTCTGTTCCGACCCACTTCCCCTTCCCCTTCTCCGATCTTCTTCTTCCTCAGCTCTTATTCGCCACTGTCACTCCAATCCCCAAACCCTAACCCCAAATCTCCCAACTACGCCGATCTATTTCTCTGTTTTTTTTGTTTTTGGGAAAGAAATCGGATTTGTCTTCCCTGATTTCGGTGGATTTTTTTGGCCCGGAGGAATGGCTACTTCCAATACCAGCAACGTCTACATCCACGTCATCGAGGACGTCATCAATAAGGTCCGAGATGAGTTCACCAGCAATGGCTGCGATAGCGTCCTCGACCAGCTCCAAGGAGTAATTTGTTTTTTCCCCCCTTTTTTCTATTTTTATAATGATCGGTTTTGTGACTGAGCGTGGGGTGTGTGTACTGGGCGGATTGGTGATTTGATTTTAGTTGAATGTTTACTTCGCACTCGGTTCTGTCAAGTGGAATCATGGAATTTTGATGTGGATCGGTCTGAGCGTTTCTAGGGTTTTTTTTGGTTTATGTAGATCTATCATGGGCGGGATCGATTTTATAGGTTTAAGTTGATTTTTTTTTGTGACTTTTGATGTTTTTTTAGTTATGGGAGGCGAAGATGATTGAAGCTGAGGCTGTATTGGGCCCGATTGAAAGGAACTCAGCTCAGAAAACCGCACCTGGGGGTGGAATGGCAGCTGTGCATGACCTGAATGTACCTTATGAGGGAAACGAGGAGTATGAAACTCCTACCGCTGATATACTTTTTCCTCCTGTAAGTTTTCTTTTTTTCTTTTTTTTTGTCAATGGAGTTTGGTTCTGGAATTCTGGACTGTCTCTGGTTGGGAATTGATCTTTTTTTTTCTTTATTGAATTTCTTCTTCTTCTTGCGTTTGTGAATTGGTATAGACTCCATTACCGACACCCATGCCGGGATCAGCTCAGACGCCGCTACCTGGAACATCACACACTCCAACGACGGATTTAATTTTTCCTCCGGTTAGTTTTTGGCCGTTCTGTCACTTTTTCTCAATGAATGTTTGTGATTTTTATAAGGAAGTCAACAGTTGAAGATTGATCTTTTTGTGTATGTGTTTGTATGAATGTAGACTCCTTTACCGAACATGGCCCCTACACCATTGCCAGGAACAGCTCAAACCCCTCTCCCTGGAACTGCTCAGACACCACTGGGAACAACAGAAAATTCTATGTATAACATTCCTACTGGTGGAAATCCATTCACTCCCGATGAATATTCTAGTGCAAATGAGAATGATGTCGTTGATGTGAAACCCGCTATGGGGAGGCCTAGCCGTTTCATGGTAGACACATAAATCTGTTTAGTTGCCTTCATCCTAATGGCTATCTCGATATTTGTTTGATAAATCTTCTTTTGTAATATTCCGGGACTATTTAAAGATCTATGATTTGTTTAAATCATGAATAATAAAAAAAGAATGAGTATATCCGTTATCCATCCCAAAATGAAGGGTGTTTTTTGACTTCAAAAAGTTTAAGAAAAGTACTGGAAAGTAAAAGGTGTATGATTGGAATTTGTGAGCCACATATTTCATTCCTTAAATGGAGAGTAAGGAAGTGTTAACTTAATTTTGGAACAACCCAAAAAAAGAAAGTGTATACTTCATTTCAAGAATGGAATGAGTATTTGTGATGTGTTTTGAAGAAAAGTTTGATATGGGCCTGTTTTTTAGGACACATACTTTGCACTATTTGATATGATTATGATTGCAGCTCACTGAGGACATTAGCGTAAATAGGAGCCTTTAGAGGTTGAGGGTTAGAGTTGTAGGGAAGACTTTCATAGGAGTGGTTACTTGTGTGTTTGGGCTCCTAGGGTTAGTCTGTTGGAGGTGACCTTACTGTTTTTGTTATATGTTGGTTACCTCTTCTGTTTATTCGGTTTTGTTCTTTGAACGGGGGGTCTTTCGAAAACAACATCTTTGCCTTTTTAAGCAGGTGTAAGGTTTGTATACAATTATGATTGCATCTATGTATAGAATTTGGTACACATCTTTTTCGGCATACAATTTTTATAATTTAGTTAAGGTGGTTTTGCTCGCCTCAGTATACAAACAAAAAAACCCACCTACTCATTAAGATTCCAAGAATGGGCCCAGCTCAATATTCAATGTGAGAGGATTAGGCGAAAAGTCCTAATCGTTTAAGTGGCTCTTCTGTTCCCTTCATTGCATGTCTCTCATCAAATTTAATTGAAATCCCGCGCTTCATTTTTGCTTTTTCTATGTTCTATTATCTCTAAAAAGAAATTCCTGGGATTGATATATTTATATGTGCAGCAACCACCCTCAACTTGGATGAACCAAAGGCCTCCTCTTGATGTTAATGTTGGTAAGTAAACTAATTAGATATCTAGGTTACTGATTTTTGTATGTACAATACTCCGTATTTTGTTTTTATATTTCTTCTTCTTCAAGTTAAAGTCACAAACTAGTTCAATACATATTTCCTTGCTATTTATAAAGATTTATAATTTATTAATCTTTTCTTCCTTTGCAGCTTATGAAGAAGGGCGCGAAGAGGGTGAACGTGCAACATCACAGCAACCCTTGACACAGGTGAAATTTTGAAACCTGGGTGTCAGTCTGTGATTCTGTCAAATGTTAGTAAATGATGTTTGGTGGCCTTTGTTCTTTTGGTTAATTGGTTTTTTAAAAAAAGCTTACATGTTTATAGTATTCAAAACCTTTTTTGAGGTTGTTTCAAGGTGGTTTGGCTTGTAATAGTGGTTCTTAAGCAGACGCCGATGACTGATTGTTAATGCAATGCAAACATTTGAATTACTAGGGTTCTACATAGTTCAGATGCGTGGAAACTCTTATGGGTCAAAAACCTCTGATTTGTAGTAGGAAATACCACAAACCCAATATAATCTCAACTATGTTGGGGTCTTTGGGGGGGGGGTCAAAAAGTAAGCAGCCCTCCCTTGTCCCGGAACTGTAGTATGAAATACAGCTAGAATTCTTCATGCTACTAGTACTAGAAGGACTAAGATGATAGGAATTGAATTATTTTCGAATTTAGAAAGCTCATATGTGCAATGGAACCTAATGAACATAGGAAGTGAAATTTGTTTACTTTTTTGTTTAGATATAGCATAAAAAATTGACCTTATTACATTTAATGAAGTTAAACAAACTCCTTCTAACATTAGTCATGCTTTCCCTCGAACACAATCTACACGGCACACTTCCATGTTGATGCAAACAGAAACACAAGCAATAGATGGACATGTCATTTTGTGAATTCAAATATGATAGGAATTTTACCTGCAAAAGCATAATCAGGTGTGTTCTGTCAATTAATCTTCCCAAGTCCGGTCAAACTTCTTTCTTGATAGTTTACCTTTCAATGAGAAAGAGAGTTCGATACTCTTGGTTTAAAACAAAAACAAATGGAAATGTTTTAATTAGTATTATTCAATGAGCTTATCTGTTTAAGGATTACACACAAGATTTAATCATAGTTTTAGGCTTTCATATGTTATCCCAGTAACTAGGAATTTGAACTAATCATTGAGATTTGGGTTGGCATGTATAGTTTGAAAAAAAAATCTATTTTTTCAAAATTTGCATTTTGTGCGAAATTGTTGTGGTTTTGAAACATGTTTAACTTTAGAGTATTAAATACTCCATCCATCCCAAAAAGCATTACCTAGTTTGACTTTTATGGTGTTTAAGAAAAGTGTTGAACAATGAAAAGTGTATGGTTGAAATTTGTTTAGATGAGAGAGAACTCTTGTAAGCCGCAAGTTTAAAGGAAATAAAGTAAATGTGAAGTGTTTTTTGGGAGGGAGGGAGTAAGTAAAAAACTATTTTGAAGTGTTTGAAAAATAAATAATGTTTATTTTGTGACTAGAGATGGACAAACAGGTATGCGGAAGGGTCTCAAAATTATGAAGTGTAGAAACTTTCAAATCAAGAACTTTCAATTTATACTCTTTTGATTTTAGCAATTTTTTAAGTTACATGAAAATGCTCTCTGAATAGGCCAAAATGCCCATAGCTAGAGTGTTTGAGCACGTGTTGGAACAACCCTACTGGCTACTACCTTTGAGTGTTTTGTTGAAAATAGCCTAGTGAAAGAAATTATCAGTGAAAACTAAAGTAAGGTTTTTCTCCTCAACTAAAGGAAGTATGCTGAAAAGGGAAAACCGAAGGTAGGGTTTTCTCCATGAGTTGGTCTCATGCAGGCTTTTTGTGTCTTCATACAAATACATCGAGCAGACCTTAATGGTAAATTCTTCCTCTTTAATTGGATCCATCTCCGTACTCTTTTCATGAAGGACTTCCAAAACTTCTCGAATCTTGTTGGATTTGATTGGACCATGAGGAACTTGAATAGGATCTTTGAATATTTAATTGATAATATTTATTAACTCTAATCGCAATGTTATAAGTTGGATGTACTTCCTGTCACGACCTTCAAATAAGGAATAATGAGATTAAAATTTTGAACTCATCATCGCCATAGGTTCTTTCCACATGAATGGAAAATATAATGAGACGGTGTTGAGTTGATATATTTGCTATTGTCGATTTGTCATGTTTTTTCATAATTGATATTGCATGGCCAACATGCATATCATGGAACATGGCTAGTTCACATTAGTGACATCACATGCACTCTTCATTTGGTTAAATATAGGGACTTCGGGTCTCTTGTTCACATCACAATGTCTCTTTAAATATAATTCAATCCTTGACTTCAGACGCAGGATTTTTTCATGATGCCTTCTGGGAAGAGAAAAAGGGATTTTGCTTCACAGTATCAATCTGGCGGTTACATACCGCAGCAAGATGGTGCTTCAGATGCATTATATTATGATTCAAAGGTGAGATCCATCATGCATTCTCACAATTCTATGTATAATCTGGGCCTCCTTCAATACTTCAACTGTCGTATATCTTATTTGCACATTAAAGCATTGGAATTGGAAGAAATATTAAAGTAAAAAGGAGTCTATGATGAGGTGAAGTCATTGTTCAATGACATGAATATTGACTTTCTGTTTTTGATGCATCTTAACTGCTGATTCAAGGATGGGGGGACCGGTGATCAAAGTTGTACATTATTATGTGATTTAATTAATGCGAGACCTCTTTTATTGAATTCCACCCCTATTACATTTGAGTACAAGGTCCTTTACGTGGAAATGTATCAGTGTGTGCTAATAAATGACCATGAAAGATTTTGTGTCAGTGTGCTAATAAATGAGCATGAGAGATATTATGACTTCAATGTTTATCACGCCTTCCGAAGCTTGTCGGCGCAGAGGGTAGAGAAAAAAGCGAGTAAGCCTTCGCGCTCAAGGACTAGGACCAAATACATTGACTGTTTTTTCCGTGGTTTGATGACTGAGTCGCAAGTGGAAGTGAAGATTGATGCACACATCGTACTTAAAAGTTAAAATGACAAGCTTTAATACATTCGATCCATTATTCAGGCCGATGGGGGGATTGATGGGGAATTGGGGATGTTCATGGTATTGGAGACTTAGAGAGGCCTGGATGAAGTGGAAGCTCGCTTCATGTTTTCTATGTGACGAGAGGATATCAACAGAACTGAAATGAAAATTTTTTCGGTCAATGGCTAGACCGGCTATAATAAGCTCTGAGTGGCAAAGATGAGAATGTTAAGATGGATGTGTGATCACACAAGGATAAATGAAGTCCAGAAAGAATATATTAAGGGGAAGGCAATAGTGGTCTCTGGAGGATAAGATGTGTGAAGCAAGATTGTGGTGAGGAGAAGTACGGATCTTTTTGTGAGGAGGTGCGAGAGGCTGGAGGTAAGATATACCCTAGATAGGGGACGTCAGGAGGGGTAGAGGTAGTTCTAAGAAGAGTAAGAGCAAGGTGATTAGACATGAGTTGTTGGAAAAAAGGATGGAAAGGACTATGTTGTGTTGTCTTGAGATGCTAACATTCTCATTGCTAATATTTTAAATTTGCAGCAGTTTTTTGCTACTCCATCTGTCCCAAAAAAGGCTCCCAGTTTGACTGGCACAAAGTTTAGGGAAAGTGAAAATGCGTGGTTGAAAATGATGCGGAGGAGAGGGAAAGATTGTGAGCTACTCAAAATTTTCCATAAAAGAGGAGTCTTTTTTGGGACATTACAAAAAGGAAATAATGAGTATAAAGTTGAGGATTTTTACTGTATGGGAAATTTCTCGTCTCCATGTATAAAGTACCTTCCGAAATTTTTGTTTTCATTATTAGCATTATGAAAAATCTGACTCAATTTGACTCGTATTGCCTGGAGTATAAGGGCATGTTCTCTTCAACTTATTCTTATTGGAACCAAACTAGATCATAAAACTAGAATAAGATCAAATCAAACCAGATTAGGTTACATTAGACCTTAATAAATTCAGATCAAAACCAATGAGATCAGACGAAGAGAACATGCCCTAAGTCTTTAAATAGCTATCTCAATCCTTGTAAGAAGCTCTATGAAGTTGAGGATTTTTACCTTATGCTTTTGATTTCTGGTCTCATGAATGCTCTCTTTATTTTGTTTATGGTACTTCACATGCTCCAGCTTGCATTTTTTCTAGTTTTAAATGTCTTGCTTTGTTTTGGTCTGAAAAAAATATTAAATTGCAAAGTGGTTCTTCAGAGTGATCAGTGTAGCCCAATCCAACACGAGTTTGTTACTGCTGGCCAGGAGATAGTGATAGAGGGGTCAAGTTCTTCACGAATCCCTCAGCTGGATGGTCCCATTCCTGATCCTTATGATGAAATGCTTGCAACACCTAATGTATGTTTTCTTTTTTCCGTTATCACCAGATAACATGTTTGAATTCAACGGGAACCTCTAAATATGCCCTTTATTGTTCCAGATGCATCATGCTGGAATATTTAGTGGTGAATTGAACTAGCCCGTTATTATAACTATCAGATCATCATATGCAGTTTTCTCTTTCCAATGTTTCCTGCTTTGTTTTAGGGATTTTTGAACATTATTTTTCCTTCACTGCGTAGGTTGCCTACACAATTTTTATTGCACAATACTAGAATCTTGGTGATTTTAACAGTTTTTTTTGTCTGGCAAACTTTTGACGGTCTCTTCATTTATATTAAAAGATCTATAATTATCAAGGAGGCATCAATGATGACTACAATATAGCAAATACACCCGGACCAGGTAAATGCAAGACCCATTGTCTCTATAAGTACTTCATATCATCTGCTTAGGCTGCTGTTCTCCCCCTAAAATCGTAGATCTGCCTTTCTCTGACTTTTAGACATGCAAGCACCTACTCCTGCTCCGATTTTTCAAAATGACCTGGATGACGATGATGAAGACCCCTTGAATGAAAATGATGACGATGAGTTGGATGATGTGGACCAAGGAGAGGATCTCAACACATCTCATCTAGTTTTGGCTCAGTTTGATAAGGTATTTATCCTTCCCTGTTTCCATCTCCAAGAGCTGTTGGTTTTGTTTGAAAAGCATGACGAATTGTTTATAGGGTTGTTTTTTTGTTCCTACATCCTCTATGCAACTCTAGTCATCTAGTCCCTCATTATTAGCTTTTGGAGAAGAAAAAAGAATCTCTGGGTGTACAACTTGGTGTTACTTTTCTTCCATCATGCCATTCCCCATTAACATCATTATTATACACCCTCCTTTCCTAAAACAAAGTCTCTCTTTGACTTCACGAAGTTAAAGAAAAGCGACGAAAACTAAAAATTGGGTGGTTAGAAGTTGTTCATAAGAGAGAAATATTGTGAGCCACACATTTTTTCCTTGACAGGAAATGTGAGAAACGTGCCTTTAATTTTGGGACAATCGAAATGGAAAATGTGCTTTGTTTTAAGGACGGAGGAGTACACTATTTGATATGAGAATGATGCAATTACTCATGTTTTTGTCAAAGGTTACGCGCACTAAGAGCCGGTGGAAGTGCACTTTGAAAGACGGTATAATGCATATAAACAACAAAGATATACTCTTTAACAAGGTAATGCATCAACAATGTGTTCCCATTACGCACCACCCAGGGACGCCTAAGATGAAAAGCTTGTTTTTTTCAGGCAATGGGAGAGTTCGACTTTTGATTCCGCTTGTGAAAGAGTTTTTCTTGCGAAACGAGCACAACGTTTGGGGTGAAAATCAAGAATGCTTATTATTAGGGGGTAGTATTATTGTAATTGCTCGATTTTTATTAAGCGTTAGAGACCATCGAGTTATGTTGTTTGTGGGAATCAGTTGGGACTTTGTTTAGTTGATGTACATAAAGGGAGAGACTTTTTGCCACAATTTACAACCAACTCATTCATCTCTAGACTAAATGTTGTCTCTAAAATTCCGCAGACTTTTACTGGGAAAACAAATAGACCCCCTTTTACAGTTTCCCTTTTGATTTATTCATTTATTTGCCACAAATTTTTATCAATGGCGCCGTTTCTGTGACATTGAAACCAATATAATAGGATGAGTCGCGCCTCCTACGATGTTTCGCTGATAAAAATGATGGTCCTACCCTGCAAACCACCTATCCTTTGCCAATTGGTTATAGTGGTCACTGTAGCCAATTAGCGAGAGAGAGGAGGGGGCGGGGTGGGAAAGGGGTAATGGTTAGAACTACATCATTTTACCAAACGGAGCTCCGTAGGAGTCTTGAGTTATGCTATGACATTCCAAACGAATGTCTAATGAACCACACCGTTTTTTCAATGTTACATTCCTTTGTTATATTATGACATTGGTCAATTTAAACACTAATGATTTTGTTCCACCTACCCCCGCCCGTCCGCCTTCCCAATCGCATCCCCAATTAAGTTGATATTTTGATCTAAATTTTGACTAATTGAGGATGAAATTGGATCCTAGTAGCAATTTAGCAATGCACATATATATAACACAGAATTGTGGCGCAATTGATTTTTCATGTAATACATATGTTAACTCACCCCAGCAAAAGAAAACAAAATAGCATTATTTTGAAAATTCACACTAATACTCTTAGATTTGGTTGATAATAAAATATTAATCCCAATTTTTTTTGCTTGCCACTATTTCGGAAATTACAGGATCTCACATCGTTAGTTCATCCCGATTGAAAAATTAGTCGCCATTTGACTTTTTTTTTCTTGAATACTTTAACACCTTGGTTCCCATGACATTGGGAACCAATGTAATGGGATGACCCGGGGGTGTTCCGGTGTCCCGTTCGTAAAATTGACGGTTTCTACCCCCCTAACCCCCCAATAAACCCCCCCACCCCGCCCCGACCCGAACGCACTCCCCCACCCCCTTCAATTGCACCCCACAAGTTGATTTTGACTTTGGAGTCAAAATTTGACTCCAAAGTCAAAATCAACTTGTGGGGTGCAATTGAAGGGGGTGGGGGGTGCGTTCGGGTCGGAGCGGGGTGGGGAGGTTTACCGGGGGGTAGAAACCGTCAATTTTACGAACGGGGCACCAGAGCACCCCCGGGTCATCCCATGACATTGGTTCCCAATGTCATGGAAACCTTGCCCATACTTTAATAATGGAGTCCTAATTGAACTTTTTGTATTTTTGCGGTCCTCAGCAAGTTTTATCATCTTTTTCTCATTTTACGTTTGTAAATACCCCTCTCTCATCTTCATCTTTGTATAACGATGTCATGTCAGAGTAGAGTAGTGATGTAAAATCTGGTAATATGAAAGTAATAGGGAGGATTATATAATTGATCAAACCTAACGATGTCATTTTCACGGATTACTTTTAGGTTTGATCAATTATATAATCCTCTATTATATAAACCTAACGATGTCATTTTTACGGATTACTTTTAGGTTTGATCAATTATTAGTCTATTTAAGTGTCTTTAAATAGACTAATAGAGTAATATTTTTTTAAAAGATTTTTTTTAAAAAAAGGCCGTTAGGTTCAAAAAAAATAATACTCTATTAGTCTATTTAAAGACACTTCTTCCATCCAAACTTTCGTCAAATTCTCTCTACTCAATATTTCTACTTTTACTTCTTTCCTCCTTTCTCTACACTCATTTTTTCATCTTTTTTTCTAAAATGGACCTAAACCAACTGAATCAGCCCGGGTTTCAACCATACGCTAATTTTGGTTGGCAAACGTCTCAACTGTGCAAACGGATATCGACGACACTCCATCGATAGACCTGGCTGTGCTAAGGAAAATGAAAGAAAAAATTGCGAGTCGATGGCTTGGTGGGAGCAGCAAGGGCATGTAATTCTTTTTTGCATTATTACATATTTTATTGTATGTATAGTATTTAAATTTTCATTGTAGTTTTTTAAGTGTTTGGATCAAAATCTTTGATTCATGTAATACTTTGTCGTACTTTTTATTTAATTTATTATTTAAGTTTATGATTTTTTTTATTAACTATCCAATTATTATTTAATGTTTAGTTTATTTAAATGTAAATGAAATGTTATATAAGTAGTATTTAAATAAAAGGATAAGGATGAAATGATGATGACACTCCGATCTTGGATGAGGATTAAATGAAGAAAGCTGTTGTGACGCTGAGTTGGAAGTGAAGATGCGAATGATGGCACCAACCAGGCCCGCCCAATGGGGAGTTCATGATGTTCTTTTGCACAGGGCCTCCAAATTTAGGGGGCCCATGATTTATGTATATTATTAGGAAGTATAATTAAATTAGGATACTTCTTTCCTTTTCTACTAGGATTATTCTTTCCTATTCCTACTTGTACTTTGATTACTCTTGTATTCCCTATATATAGGGCCATATATCTCAATATTCAATAAGATAAGTTATTATCAAATTGTATCAATTATAAATAAAAATTAAAACCAATTCAATATACAGAATATTTTTCCTCTTATTCAATGGTATCGGAGCTAAGGCTCTCAAAAACCTAGCCTCTCTTTTTTTCCGACCGCCGCCCACCATGGCAGCCCCGTCGGATCCTTTGGCGTCCTTACCCTCCGGAGTAAAACTTTTACTTCGGAGTCTCCACAACTTAATCCCAGAAAAACTCACCGAAACAAATTATCCGGCATGGTCTCTCAATGTCCAGACAGCTCTTTCAGCTAATCTCCTCCTTGGATGGATTGATGGTCATGAAGCAGCCCCGACGCCAACTATCTCCAAAAACGATAAAACCGTCCCTAATCCAGAGTATACCTCCTGGACCATCGTTGACACACAGATCCGCGCCTGCCTCCTAGCGGTCATCAGCCCCTCCGGGATGCTTTGGCCGCACGGTACAACTCCGTGTCCACCGCTCATGTTTATCAGCTTCGGGACAAACTCCACACTCTTCGTAAAGGTACCAAAACTATGACACAATACCTTGATGATGTGGCAACTATTCTCTCGGATCTCGATGCCTTGAAAGAAGAGATCCCTGAACGTGATGTGGTGAATGCTGTTATTCGTGGTCTTCCCACCGAATACTCATCCTTTAAGCAAAACATTCGCATGAACAATACCAATATTTCGTTAAATCAGCTTTCTGGATGGCTGATCTCCGAAGAAATAAACCTGGAGATGGAGAATAAACTCAACCTCACCGAGTCTACCATCACCGAACCTCGCACAACACTTCTCGCTACGAACGGTCGAGGTCGCGGTAGAGGAGGCTACCGTGGTCGACCGTCACCTGGACGTGGATACAACAACGGACGTGGAGAAAGGAACAACGGTCGACCGTCCTAGGGAAA